TTCGTCTAGATGGATGGCAACGGGCAAGGTCACCTTGGTTGGTACGCTGGATTACATCCGTCTGGCATAGGTCTTAAAGTGACTCGCTCGCAGCAGCTCACGTCTTATACCCTAACGAACATCTTACTAGAATGTACGGTAACATTCTACCTGGTCTAGTTACTGCTACCAAATTCCAGAGAGTTCATTGAACAAGCGCCGTCTAGCGTCGAGTAGCAATACACTTTACAAGGATTGTAGTCGATTTATTCAACTGTAGGTGTTTCTTATGAACACTTACAGGTGTCCAGTTTAAGCAGGTTGTCTGCTGCAGAGGCGGATCTACCATATGGTTTTTTGGGCTTCAGCCCAGGGCCCCGTGGATTGAAGGGGCCCCCAGCTTAGTCAAGTCAAAACCAAAAATAGACGATATTGCGAAAGAATCCATACTTTTATTAAAGTAAACAGATTGGAAATTCAGACAGGCAAACATCGCTGAATTTCCATAGCAGATATAATATTTTCAAAAACGATGTCTAAAGCTGAACTAGTGATTCACTAAAGAAAGAAAATTAATATTATTTTCTTTAAAGCAGTAGATTCAATGATTAGAAGTACATTCAATGTAGAAAAAATACATTGTTGCATGTAACCCCATTTATATTACCCCTAGAATGTGAGGAGCAAATTAAAGAATTTGCCATGTCTGCACTTTGCAGAAAGGTTGCTTTGTAATTTGTCAATTTATTAACAGTAGTATAATACTAAGGCATAATCTTATATATAAAATTCTCGTGTCGCGGTGTTTGTGGTTAAACTCCTCCGAAACGGCTTTCCCGATTCTCATGAAATTTTGTGTGCATATTGGGTAGGTTTGAGAATCGGACAACATCTATTTTTCATCCCCCTAAATGTTGAGGGTAATCCATCCCTAAATTTTTTTTTCAGTTTTAGATATTGTTTTTATTTTTTAATATACATCATACACAAATACATACAACCCTAAATTTTCACCCTTCTACTACCAACCCCTATTTTTTTATGGCGGTACGAAGTTCGCTGGGACAGCTAGTAGGGTGACTGATCTAATTATCAGCACTTTAAGAGTTAGTCCAAACTTATTAAAAAAAAATATTTGACTTATAATCTAATTGTATTTATAAACTTAACAAAGTTTCGTATTATTATCATGTATTATGATAATGTCTCTTGTGTTTTGTTAGCTTTTATCTCTTTTATTTTGTTTTCAATTGTCACTTGTAGCTTTTTTTCTATTGTCTCTTGTATTTTATTTTCTATTGTCCCTTTTATTGTATTGTCTTTTTTCTCCTGTATTTTATTAGCTTTTTTTCTCTTGTTTTTAGTAGGGGTTTCTACTTTTGCGTTATGTTTTCGTCTTGTTAAGTAATCTGTTTTTCTTATGAGTCACCTGTTCTTCTTCTTTAAGTTGTTTAGTTTTTAATTTGTTGTTTTCAGTCTTTTTCCATTCAGCTGAAGTAAGAACAAATGATGATCTCTGTACATTTTTAACACCTTTTCGTTCAGGCGTTTTTTCCGTAACCAATACGTCCTGTAATTTTTCTGCAGTTAGTAAATATTGTTTAATCTGACTGGAGTTAGTAAATATTGTTGACTATCAAGACATAAGAATTGCGCACTTCCAAGACAATATTCAGTATAATGAACCATCAGATGGTTCATTAGTGGTTGCAGAAATCATAGCTTGCATTTCATCTACAAAATCTTATGCTAATATTACTGGAAATTGATCAATTTTGAGAAATTTGATAACAGCTTCTTGGGATGTGGAAGTTGTGGACGCATCAGTTTGATCATCGAAATAACAACAAATCTTTAAAATCCTTTCTGTTTCTATTAGACTTTCAAGCGGCGTTCTTTGCAGAAATGTAGGTACATTTTTCTTGCCCTACAATCTTTTCTAAAGTGTCACGTGTCATAACTCTATCTTCATTACAATCTTCTTGTAATTTTTATTCGTCTTGTTTTGGTTCTTTATCATGTTTATTTCCTTTACCCAGACATTTTTTGTAGTTGATGGCTTCAAAGTTACAGGGACATAAGCCAATAGTCCTGAATCCATTTATCACTGTTGTATCTTTGACGCCAACCTCTAAAGCCTCTATAAGAACAGGTACAAAATCATTCTTTGTGAGAGTCTCCAAAGGGTAATCTCTCTTCCATTTTACTTTCCTTCCATGCATTTTTGAGAGGTCTAAAAGCTGACATGTGTCGGCTGGCTTTAGAGCAATCAAAATAATGTCCAACTTGCTGCACAATTTATTCACTTCAAGACTAAGATGTGTTTTTTGTCCATCTACAAATAGTATGATGTGAAATGGATGAAATACATTCTTGATATAATCATAGAAAAAATCACATTTCATCTAGCCAGTACAGCTTAAACCAATGCCCCACTCATTTGGGACTGATGATTGTTTATCATTGGGAAACCTCTTGTTGGGAAACAGAACTAGTGGAGGTGTAATATCTCCGTTGGCGCAAAACGTAAACAGTACAATAAAGACAGTTTTGGCTGCAGCGTGATCAACTTCATATCTTCTCTTTCTCCTCGTAATGAAATGATTTTGCCGCTCTTAGGATATAACTGAAAGTTAGATTCGTCCCCATTAAAAACACGAGACGGGTTCTGGTAGATGTTAAAGTAGTTGTTTTCCTTAGGATAAAACTCAAATTTGTGGAACCACCTTTTGATGTCTTCTTCTGATACAATAGCACTGACTGATATTACAGTTTCGGCAATGCGTTCGCTGAGTTCTGGATGATGGCACATAAAAAGGTCATACCATTTTCTACCAGATATGTCATCTTTTAAGGGGTCTCTAAATCTCTTTCTGTCTTCTTTAAGAAACTTGCTACACTCAATTGTAAATCAGTCTTTTTTTTGGGAATCCTTTCTGACAGCAATCTAAAACCCACTTTTACTAAAACTTCCTCTTCATCGTTCGACAATATTGGATCAGGGTCTGGTAGCTTCTTGCATGGCTTTCTTAATCGCGACTGGATAGTTCATCTAGGTTTATTGAAGGTTTTCGAGGCCAGTTTTTTGGACATACCGTATTCTAATGCATCTAAGTCTTTTAATAGATTTTCGTAAGAGGTTTTTTTTCTTTTATTTGGCGTATTTACTTCCTTTGGTTTCATGGTAGGTGGGTCTGAAAAAATTAAAAATGATGAAATGCTAGGAGAACCAAATTATCAGCATGCTTTTGATCCAATTATCAGCACTATGCTGACAAATAGCAAATGTAATTTCAGCACTATGCTAAGATTTGGATTCCGAAGGCATTAACTACTTTCACGAAAAAAAAATAATTTTATGCATCAAATAAGCACGGTTTACAATTAAAAATATGGTATAAGTATTTACGTACTATTTTCCATTTATCAGCACCAGTGCTGATAATTTGGAATTCGCAAAATATTAGACCCATATATCAGCACCACATTTTTTAACAATATGTCTTCATAACCTCAAATTATTCTTTTCAAACTATCCTCATAAACTATCTAAGAAATCATATAAATCAAAAGTATTAATATAAAATATTTAAAAGATCTATTAAAGCATTAAATGTAAACACGTGAACTTACCTTCGATCTCTAAGAACAGACAAAAATAAGACGAACTGCAGGACAGAAATGTATTTTTACATTTTTTTTGCCATTTTGAAGTCATTTTTTTTTTAATTTATTGGCACATTTTGAAGTCAGAAAGTATGGTATTGCCAGTGGTAGGATTTCAAAAACAACAATTTATTTATTTTTTAAAGTGGTAACCCAAATCAGTTAGTGAAAACCTTAATTATTTTACTATTTATTCAGAGTGCTGATTATTTGGTGCAGTGCTAGCATTTGGATCAGTCACCCTATAATATAATTTTTTTTTTCTGTCTCATTTTTTCTATACTTTGAGGTGGGCCCCTAAATAGTATTAGCCCAGGGCCCCCTTAACTCACGGTCCGGCTCTGGCCTGCTGCCACTATGGCCACCCGGCTTAAACTACACTGTTTATTCCTCGTGCTTGTTTTCTGAGTCTGAATGTGATTCTGAACCTGCGTGCACTGTGGCCGTACCCTAAGTCAATTCAAAAACTTTATAGGTTCTTTAACTTCAAAATGATATAAAAAAACATGCTACTTTACTTGGTATTTTTACCCGAAAATCAAGTTCAAACTTGTAAAAGTCAACAATAGCGTTTGTTGCATACATTTGAAAATTTATTTTTCGTTTCTTTTTTCAATTCACTTGGTAAATAAATAAGTAAAAAAGATAAAAAAACAAACAAAAGCATTAATACATCAAATATTACTAGCTATTAGGGGAGAAGGAGGCACCTTAGTACAGGGGCAGATTTGAACATGTTGATTTCTGTACGTAACTTTATGTTAATTTATGCCGTAACTACATTTTAATATTGGCAGCACTGGCTGTAACAAAGGTCAAGTAACAAAGCGCGCGCGTTTCGTTTTCAAAAATATTTATAAGCTGTCGTCGTATTTGTACCAGTAAAGTAAAAAATAAAAATAAATGTTGTAAGGGATTGACTATCACGTCAGTAAAGGTTTCCAACTAATTCTTTCACAAAATTGTGCAGTACTTATTAGTTTTCAATCCAACTTGTTGTTTTTTCTTGTACATTATTTTTTTGTAATATTTTATTTTCCAAGTGACCGTGGGACAGATTTAGACAAAGTAAACGGGGCAGATTTGAACGGGACATTCAAATACAAACTTCATATGTTTTCTTACAAGTTTTAATATTAAGTTTATTTTATGTTTATTTTGTGTCTGTATTATATAATAATAATAAACTAAAAGTCTTGTGCAATATGATTACTTTTGTTAACAAGGAGGAAATCCAACACAATGAAAATATTATTTTTATTTTTGTTACTGTAATGCAAGATGTTACTTTAGAAGTTTCGTATAAGTTTATTTTATATTTTATTACAATAAATATCATGATAATAAAGACAAATTATTACTCTACCCTCTCTTTTTTCTGGTTTTTAACCCATTGTTCAATACTGCCCCATGTCGATTCAAATATGCCCCCCTGGGGAGGCAGATTTGAACAGATTTGTGTTTAAAAAAAACACATTATTTCTCTTTAACGTTTTCAGCAAATTCAAACATTTCAATATTTTTATATTAACAAAGGAGTAAGTAAGCTAATAAAACTATGTTTTTTCAATTTCTCTTTACAGTTGATTTTTTATGAGTCCAAATACTAAAAATATGCTAATGTGCCTCTCTCTCCCCTACTGTTCACACTACCTTGATGAATGAGATTAGGTTTCGCCATCATATCATCCTTATCACATAAAAAAGTGCAAGATTTGATATCTTCAGATTATGGACGTCGAATTCAATCTTGCGAAGGCATTTTAAGAAGTAACAACGACGATCCTAAGTTTTTTGACCGTATTTTGTGGACAGATGAGTCAACGTTTACTCGGAGTGGAATTTTTAATATCCACAATTATCACTCCTGGGCCGCTGGGCCTCTGCAAACCCGAAACTAATTATAACGACACCATTTTCAACAAACTTGACAAATGATTTTGATATTGCAATGGCAGATCCTGATGTCAATTTTACAACACATCAGGGCATGTTTTTACAGTGCGAAGGAGCCCCTTGTCACTTCGCGAGAAATGTGAGAACACATTTAAACAACCAGTTTGGCAATAGGTGGTGAATTCTGTGGATTTTTTTTGTACGGCGATGCTACAAGGAGATGGTCTATTACCAAGAATTCAAGACATTGCAAGAGTTGAAAAGAAAATTAAACGAAGGCCAAAAGGAAATAAAGCAAAAAACGCAAATCTTCAGAAATTTACGCCAAAACTTTTTACGGCAATGCCGATTATGTATTCAAGCAGGTGGCCGACATTTTGAACAGTAATTGCAATAAATTATTACTGAGGTAAACAGTTGTTTTATTTATGACAAATAAAAAATGGGTGCGTGTACTTATGTAGGCGCGTGAGAAGTTATCCTTTTTTGGCATCGTTTAAAATTAGTTTTTAATTGCATGCAAATAATTAATTACAATAAATTAATAAAAAGTCTGGAAAAGGACACAGTCAATAAAGTTCAGTTTTAATTTGAAAAAATAAAAAAAATAATCAAAATATTCAATTAAAATCGCTACTGAATATAATTTATTAGAACATATCGCACCTTGAAAACCTTACCGTCACTAAACAAAATCCCTGTTTTTTGGGAATAAGCGATTAAAGTTTTTTTTAAATGTTTAGTTCTAGATTGTCTTTTAAACTGCATAATTAGAAAGGCTTTTATGTGTTACAGCTTTCTTCTTTATCCTAGTTTGAAATGCCAGTAAACTTTTTGCGAAGTTCTAAGGTTTCTAGAACAAAATTATAGGTTTTTTTAAAAAATATACTAAAAAGTGTCACTATTCCACTAAACATTTCAACAGAAACAAAGTAGTGTCATAATTTTGTAGTACAGTGCAATAAAATAAAAGTATATTTATCAATAAAAAACTGATTAAAAAAAACTCACTTTATTACCAATATATAAAAACGACCTAGTAAATAAAAATGAAAAGTACCTTCCCACTGTACTTCAATTATAATAATTTTAATAATCAACAAAAAAAAAAGACACAAAAAATACTTTTCTTAAAGGTGTGAATAAACTTTCTTCAAAAACAATTGGAATGTTAAATTATGTTATGAACATAACAGAAAAATTAATAACGTTGAGAATATTTGAAGGCTCGTCACGTTACAGTGACATACTTGTAATTCGAAAAATTAATATTAAAATAAAATCTGTTTCGTGGTCATTTGATGACACTTAAACCTTAAACATTATAATGGCACCAACGAGAATACAACAATCAACTTAAAATGTATTAGGAACAAATTTCAGGAAAATAGAGATTATTTCTAGGAATCAATCCCTTCTAATAATACGTACTTAATGGTTTATTATGTTATCATAAAACGAGGAAGCGTAGTACCTAGGAATATGATTAGATTGAATAAGAGCTCTCAAATCAGCCTTTTTGCGTTCAGTCAACTGAAGCTTCGTATTGTAAAGCCTCTTTAGTTGGGGACGACGTCGAATGTTCTGCATACGTACACTACGGGATTGCGGTTTAGATAAATTTATTTCTTTAAAGAGATCTTGAAAATAGGAAGTTTTGTAAAAAACTCTAACTCTGTTGGTATCATCGTCATTAGTCTTTTCAATTCTTATGATTTTTATATCACCTATTTTGACTGTCTCTCCATCCGTATTTTTATTAAGTTTTTGGTCCGCCAAGTTCTTGATATTATAAAATTCACTGTGGCTCATTTCATTTATAATGAATTTGTTGCCCTTTTTTTTCGCGTCCCGTATTAGTTGTACGTACTGGTCGGGCACATAAATAGGACCTGATCTGAGTGCTTTTTTTATTTGCCTTTCTATTGTAGAGTAAGCTGCATCACCCTCATTTTGGGTGTGACCTTTTATTAGAAATTTATGGGTGATAGACTTAACATTCGGCATTTCTTCAACAGCATAAATGTACAGAGATATGATAAATTGATTTTTTTGTTGGCCACAACAATTATCTGAATAGAATACTAATTCCAAAGGTTCGGATGTAGCAGCAGATTTCTTCTGTAAATATTTGTATACACACGTTCCAATTTCGCATGCACCTCTTTGTCCTTCAACTTCGTTCCAAAAAAAGCATTCAGTGTTATCTGTACCGAGTTCGCAGATTGTAAAATTAAAACAATTTAATTTAGATTTATAATAAAATACTGATACGTCACCTCTTGGTACAGGTAACACTGCTTGTAAATCGTAACAAGCCACAATTTTACTTGGACTTATTTGCTCTTTATCTTTAGTTTTTTCAATCCTGCTCCTTTCTTTTTCCTCTAAATGATTCTGATATTTTTCTTCCAGACTACTCTTTTCTTCTTGATTAGCATTCTTATAGGATGTGCACAAATTGCACTGATCCTTTTTAGGAATGAAAAAGCTGATGTTAAACTCTGTATTAAAGACTTTTCTAAAAATGTGAATTTTTACGTATTCATCATTGTTTTTTAAGCATTCCTTTTTGTAATCTGCATATAGATCAGTGAGACTTTTACCGCCGTCAATATACTCTCTTGTAGTTTGTTTACGCAAGTAATGGCTCTCAATCCTGGGAATTTTATTGATGTGCTTTCTGACTCCTTCTAAAAGCACTTCTGGGATTTTTGTTGCGTGTTTCTCATGTTTACCTCTTTTTTCAGGCTCTACTATACCAGAAGTATTTAGTTTAGATATAACAGTTCTTATAGGCCGGTCATTAATATCAAGCGTGTTTTTAAAAAAAAATTTGCACACTCGCTGTTTCTCTCCATTTACTGTGAAGTAAAATGCATGTCTTGGTAATCTGTTATTATGTAGCCTTTTGTATTGGTATTTGGGTTTTACCTCAGTCATACTTTTAGCAATAAAATCCCTCTGCCGAGACAATGAAGCCATTTTCCAATATTGTTCGAAAATCTGCTGGCGAGTGTCTTGCGAAAGTCTTTCTGAGCATTTCAAGCGGCAACGGACATTACAGGGCTCTTTAAGTTGTCTAGAACCAACATGTTTTCGGCCTGTTGAAGCAGATGTGTACGGAAGACCTAAATTTCTCAGTATTTTTGCAGTTTCTTTCTTACTTCCTTGGCGCCTTTTCTTTCTTGAAGTAGTCGCTATGGGATCAGTATTGGGCGCGAGCAAGCTGTTAACAAAACGATGGGCAAGTTCTTTTAATGGCAAGGGATTGTTATTCTCAATAGGAACAGTAGTATTTTCAACTTCGGCCTCCTTATCTGACAGCACCGGACTGTTTTGCGACTTCTGTAATACTTCATCTTCCGATGAAGTCATCGCCAAATCAGCAGATAAATCAATCGGAACGTAAACTTCTACGAATTCATTTTGGCTACAATTCGCAGGTGATAGTTGTGATTCTTGTGATTGTGTATTAAGTGGTGGTAGTGACTGTGGAATGACTGATGGAGGTGATGCCGTTTCTTTATCAGATTCTGAATCAGATGAAGAGCTGGTGTTAGAACGTGTTGAGCTGCTGTTAGAACCTGATGTGCTAGATGGAGGAAAACTCGAAGAAGATGAATCAACTTCAGATTTTTTTAACAGTTTCTTCTTCTTTTTACCAGATATTTCCTCAATTTCAGTGTCAGAAGACGACTCCGATAGACTTGGTTTATATTCATGATCATCATCTGACGCTGGAGAATAATCACGAAATTGATCACTTTTTGTTGATGAATGAGAGGATCTTCTGGTTGATGAATTGATCTGTTCAACCTTTGAAGTTTGTAAAGGCTGGACTTCCAGATTTTCGTGGGATGTAGCGGGATTGTCAAAACAACATTTTTTTTTACTAATGAGGGTAGATTTTCCTTCTCAATTAATGAATTTTCATTGGAACTTGATTCATTAATATTCTTTTTTATGAGACTTTTCAATTTCATTATTCTCACATTAGGTGGAGCCATTTTAGCATAATACTGTAACAAAAATCACCAAAGTTTAAAACTACAATACATCTTTTATGCTATAATGTCATTCTTTAAAAGTATCCAGCACTCGGTACCTAATAAAATTTCCGTAGTTTCAAATAGTATTCATTTACAAACACAACTTTCCCCCTCTAAATGTTTCTACGAATACAAGAAAAAATTTGCATTAAAAGAAAAAATTCTAGAATAATACGTTACAACCGTTACAAGTATTATTATTAAATTTTGTAACGTTTTTTCTCGTCATTGGTATCATCATAATTGGCACTAAATTAAATATAACGTTAGTCATGTACATTATGACATAACTTTTACTCAAAACATAACACTACATATAATGACACTAACAAAAAAGAGTCATTGATGTTTTTATAAGTTACATTATTTTATGTAAAACAAATTAAAATGATAGCGGCATTAAATAAAAAATGTCAACAAGTGTCGGAATACAAAAAAAATCAGTAAGGGGAAAACTGTCATTAAACTAAAAATGTCAATAGTGAGTGCATGCTACGATAGGTTTTAACAAATTATTTATCGGAAAAATGTGGTTAATAAAAAAAACACACTATTACACTTAAAATACACCTTAAACTTACCTGTTGGCCGAATGAAAAAACGTTCTTAAACAAAAAGAAACACTATTCTTATAAATTGTATAGTCTCTCGTGCGTAGATGACGGAAGACTGACCGGAAGACTGTCAAAGTGACAGTTAGTCGGTTAATTGGCGCTAAAGTGCTTCCCAAAAGCATAGTGACACTAATGCCATCTAGCGGGGATTATTAGAGATAGAACCACAGGTGTCTTTGAATTTTAAAGATACCGAAAATCGGCGTTAGACGGCGTTTTTAACTAAAAAACGGCAAATTTCGTTTAGTGACGGTTTGGTTTTCAAGGTGCGATATGTGATTTGCATTTGTATGAAACTCAAACACGTATTCCGAATATACAAACTAGAAACATGTGGATAAATATTATAAATATGAATACCTATAACTGTTACTTTATTACAAAAAATAAAGATGTGGTTTTTGGTTCTACTACACCAATGGTCAAGAGATGGCGCTGTAGTCTCCTGAATCGCGCTTTGGTTTCGTTGTTCCAGATTAATAAATACTTTTGATAGGCCTTCACAATGCAGTCGTTAGCACCCACTAAATAGAGATTATATTTCTATTTTGTTGGTAGATTTTCTTAATGTGCGGTAAACACAAAAGTAACGCATGAAGTTGGTCGCTAAAGCGACCAACTTCATGCTGTTAAAATTTGGTGTTACAGTGATGCGCGCGCATCTTAAAATTTCACTCTCATAAATTTTTCATAACGCGCCTAAAGAAGTATAACTTCAATAACAATTACTTTTCATGTAATTTAACAATTTATTGATCGCAAAAGTTTGAGAAATATTTTCACTATTTTCGACTTAATCAAACTTGAACTTGATTTTCCGGTAAAAATACCCTCTAAAATAGTATTTTTGTTATATCATTTTGAAGTTAAGTTAGGTGTAAGTATTTTTTTTTTATTTAAAACAAGTCAATTTTCACCTTGTGCTGAAAATTTCGAGTCGTTGTCAGTTAGAATATGGGTGTTTTGTATTTTTCTAGATAAATACACATCCTAACCACGATACTGACAAGAAAAAAAAACAAAGAAAGACAATTCAGAAAATGTTACAACCAAAACCAACAAAAATAAATCGGAAAGTAAAACAAAAAAAATCATATGTCTAAAAATATAACATTTCGCTGAATATAGATGGGGGTCCAATTGATGAGTATTGGTGTCCTCTAACCACAGATTTTCCCTGGTACAAGTTATCTGGGACACCCTGTATAAAAATTATTGACACGTAAAGGGAATTTTAAAATATCATCCAAAACACTTCGTGAGTCTGTAAAAATTATTGATTTGTTGAGTTTTTCAGAATGGGCCTCAACGTATTTAATGGCTTCATATAAATAAATTATAAAGCAATGGCTTCTCCCGAGAAAGAGGACAGTTCTGCATGGCATTGAAAAGCTTAAAATAATTTGAAAGCGAGGGATCCAAAAAGCAGCACCTACAGCTTCTCCATTAGTGGTTTTAGAGGCGTGGTTAATTTTTCGTAACTATTACTTGAGCCGGCGTTGTTTTATGTATCCAGTATTTAAATTTAGCTAAGAGATTGGAAAGCTTACAAAGTATGAAAAAACTGATAAAGGGGCCATATCTGTTTGAGAATATGTGAGTTTAGAACTTTCTGCAAACTCCGGAATGATATACGAGTGCTGTTTGGAAGCACTTGGAATGACCGATTTCATTTTTTCCGGTACATCAGTAGTCTCAGATTCTGTTCCCTTATGAGAAATAGGATCTATCACTTGGCCAGCGCGACCGCCGCGCCGCCCCCGTCAGGGAGCACATTATCTCCGTCCATCTACGCTACAAAACACGCCACAAAACATGCCACAAACTTACCAGTATTGGTAACACACATGCCACGTACAAAAAACAGCAAAACCCAACGAGCAGAATCCCGACATAAAATGTATGTTTCATACGTTTTATGTCGGGATTCTGCTCGTCAATTGTTGAACCTGGAGCGTAGATTTAGAACGTAGCCCAGGCAGGATGACGTGTAAATGTCAAATTGACAAGTGCCGTCATCTTTTCGTTTCGTGTCTGTGATGATTTCTTTTTATTGAAATAATTTAGTTTAATTAAAAACTAATGACCTAAATATTATAAACAGTGAATGGCATTTAGTAAATATCGTCAACATGTCCACACTCCGAGAACGTCAACTAAGTACTTACTGTTACATTTCATTGTTTTTTATATACTTACGATAGAAAACAATATTAACTTTTTATCTATTTACAGATGCTCTTAAGCAAATGCTCAACTTGAATCAGCCCATAACTAAGAGTATAGCAAACGAACCTACTTGGAAAGTTCTAATATATGACAGAGTTGGACAAGATATAATTTCTCCCCTTATATCAGTCAAGGAGCTGAGAGAACTAGGCGTGACTTTACACGTGTGAGTATATTTGATTATTAAATATTACCCTGGATGGCTTTGCAACACACCTTTTAGAAAGGGTGGTTTTATTGTAAGTAACACAGAATAATAATGTAACCCTAACCTTTTCCAGTCAACTTCATTCAGATAGAGATCCAATACCTGAAGTACCGGCAGTATACTTCTGTGCTCCAACAGAAGAGAATATTGGTAGAATATGTCAAGATCTTGACAATGGCATATATGACCTTTACCATTTAAACTTTATTTCACCGATAACAAGGCAAAAACTCGAGGACTTGGCAGCATCTGCCATACACTCTAATTCTGCTGTAAATATTCAAAAAGTTTATGATCAATATCTTAATTTTATTTGCTTGGAAGATGATCTTTTTATTATGAAACACCAACAATCAGATTTATTATCTTACTATGGTAAGTAACTCAAAATGCTTCAATTCAATATTTGGTGATTATGGGTGCGTCTCATTATGTAATGTAAAGGAGACAAGGCTCAAAATGCTTCTTCGTGTTTCATAGATTTTGGCATCAATAAATACAGGTCTAAGACAAAAAATAAATAAATATTTCCAACATATCACACCAATTAGCCTAGCCCCAAAGTAAGCACTGTTGGCATGTGTTATGGGATACTAGGGTTATGGATAGAATACATATACTGATACATATATAAGTATATTTATATAAAAATACATATTAAACATCCATGACTAGAGTACAAATGCTTGTATTCATCACATAAACATTTGCCCCCACTGGGATCCAAACTTAGGACTTCTCGTAAGTGACACATTGAAACCCAAGGTATAAACCACTGAACCCCTGAAGGTTGTCCACTAAGAATTGGTGTGACTTTCTCAAAAACACAAACTCATACTAAACAATAACATAATAATAATTTTAAGAATATTGAAGTACTTTTTAAAACATAGCATATAAATTATTAATATTTGTTTTTTCAGCTATAAATAAAGGTGACACAAAAGATACTGAAATGGAAACAATCATGGACAACATAGTAGAGAGTTTATTTTCAGTATTTGTTACACTAGGTAAGCCTTTAGAAGCATAATTATTGAAGTCATTATTAATTATGTAATGAAAGGTGACTTCATGAATCATTGCTGAAGTCATATTTCAATTTGATGACTCTGTAAATAATAAAACAGGGAGAAAAAAACAGCCCTTGCTGAGCTTCTTGTCGGTTCTTCTCAGTACCCTTGTGACCCTCCCTCCTCCCTTCCCATCTCCCGCCGTAGATTTACGAACCGATGGCGTAGCTTCTAGACATTCATGAGTGCTTGTAACAGCCTAAACTGAATAAATGATTTTGATTATGATTATGATTACACATTAGCATTATTGAACTAAATGTGGTAGATAATTTTTTCATTTTATTTTGATGCTGTTACATTGCAGTAACAATAGAATAAAACAACACAGGGCTTAATGTCGCCATTTAATTTAATGAGTATCTGTAAGCGTGAATTTCTTAATAACATACAACCTTGGCATACAGTACCGTTAGCATAGCATAACCGAGCATAGCATTCAAGTGTAAGGGTTATACCCTACATTATTGATATATTTTAATTGTAAACTTAATAATATTTACATCTTTATCTGCAGGTAATGTCCCAATCATAAGAAGCAGTAAAGGAAATGCAGCAGAAATGGTTGCCAAGAAACTAGACAAAAAGTTAAGGGAAAACTTGTGGGACGCTAGAAACAATTTATTTCATGGTAACACTGGACAGGGCGGCTCCTTAAGTTTTACAAGGCCTATGCTCATTTTGTTAGATAGAAATATAGATATGGCCACCCCTCTACATCACACATGGACATACCAGGCACTGGCTCATGATGTACTAGACTTGTCACTAAATAGGTATTGTTAAATAATTAATTTGTTATATTTTTTAAAACAATATGAGTGTTGACATGTTAAGTATTTTCGGCGGGTGCTTCTATTTACTGTCACATTGTTAGTTTCCAAATATACCTGTATGTCTTCTTCTTTATGTATAGTCAAAGAAGTTAATGGCCTGTCATTTAAGGCAATGATTGTTTGCACTAGATTTCTATATTATTGATTGTGGTTTCAACCTGTTTTTAACCTTTTATTAGTAACTATTATTTTTATTTGCTGTTGAGTTGGTTGTGGAACTGACACTTATAATTTTATTCCAGAGCAATGGTTCCAGAAAGCTCGAATACAGCAGTGGCATCAGGCCATAAAGTAAAGACCCGTGTTTGTGATTTGGATTCCAAAGACCCATTATGGGTGGAACACAAGGGCAGCCCATTTCCCACTGTTGCAGAAGCAATACAAGAAGACTTAGATAAATATAGGTATGTATTACCAAACTTTCAAGTATTGACTATGTATCAAATAATCTGAAATTAATTACTAATAGTTGTATTTATGACTCAATCTTGCTACAACTGTCTCCCATTGTGAGTATATTATTTCTTTTCTTGTGAAAGTTATTAAAAGAATGACACTAACTAGCCATTATATTACTTTCTTTAGTCTTCTTAGTTTTCCAAATCACTTGTTAATTTTGTTAATAAAAATAAAATAAATAAAAATAGCCTTTATTCTCTATTGTATATGTTAAAAGTGACTTAACCTAAAATTAAAACTTAGTTTAATTGCTGTCATCGGCATGTGTACAAACAGGTTGTCCTTGGACATAGGCCTCCTCCAAATTGGCCCATTAGTTCTTATCTGTGGCTGCTCGTCGCCAACTCTTGGGTAGATCGTCTTCCCATCTTTTATGTTGTCTACGTAGAGGTAGACAACATAAAATACGTTTACCATCTCTGGGGTACCACTCAATAATATCCTTTGTCCACTTGTTCCTCTTCAACCTCATGATATGCCCAGTCCATCTCCACTTCAGTGTTCTGACTTTTCTGGTTACATCTACCACTTTCGTCTTTTTTCTTATGGCAGAGAGACGAACTTTGTCTTTTAGTTTGACACCTACCATACTTCTTTCCATTCCTTGTTGGCATACTTTTAACCGTTGTGTTGTATGTTTTGAGTAGGACCATGTTTGACATCCATAGGTGAGTACTGGAAGTATGCAAGTGTCAAACACTTTCTTTTTGTGTAGGCTAGGCATATCATTGTTTTTCATTATTTGTTTCAGAGACCAGTATCGTGACCATGTGTTATTATTTCTACGCTGTAGTTCTTTTTGCATTTGTAGTTCTGTTGCTATCAGTTGTCCCAAATATATATATTCATCAACGTATTCAATTAGTTCATTTTTATGCAAATATTTATTTTGGAACCATTGGTCATGACCTTGGTCTTTGTCAGGTACATGGTTAACCCTGCTTTCTCACTTTCCTCTGCAAGTTTTATCAGCATGTGTTGAAGCACTGCTGGACATTCCGCAAACAATACAAGATCATCAGCAAACCGTAGATGGTGTAATTTCGTACCATTGATGTTTATTCCTAGTTCTTCCCAATCTAGGTTTCTGAATATTTCCTCTAAAACTGCAGAAAACAGTGTAGGAGACAGAGGGTCCCCCTGTCTTAATCCCTTCTCTATTCTAAACTCTTCTTCAATTTTCTCCAACTGAACTTTTGACGTACTTCTTCCATATATTTGCGAAATTATTCTTATGTATTTATGGTTAACCCCCTGTTTGTGGAGTGCTCCATATAGAAAGTTGTGATCTAACGAGTCGAATGCCTTGCTATAATCTACGAAAGCCAAGTAGTATGATTTTCTGTATTCATTGTATTTTTCAATCACTTGTTTCACTACGTGTATATGGTCGATAGTGGAAAAGTCTCTCCGGAAACCAGCTTGCTCTCTGGGTTGCTGTTCATCCAGACATTTTGTTAGTCTTCCGAGTAAGATTTTAGCAAAGATTTTATACATATTCGACATTAGACTAATAGGTCTATAGTTGTCTATATGGTTTTTATCTCCCTTTTTATGGATGAGAATTATCGTTGATTTAGTCCATTGTTTAGGAATCTCCTCTTTATGTAGGATCTCATTAAATAGGCAGGTTAGACTTGGTCCTATGATGGCTACAGTCTCCTTTATGAGCTCGTTGGTAATCTTGTCATCTCTGGAGCTTTATTAGATTTTCGTGACATTACAGCTTTTCTGACTTCACTTGGTAGGATGTCTGGTATTGCTTCATATTCTCTTGAGAAATCTTCCATAGCTGAATTGTCCTTACCTTTGGTTTTATAATAGAGGTTTTTGTAATAATTTGTTGCAACAGTGCCTATTTCTGATCTATTGCCAGTAATTGTGTATTTTCCTTGATGATCTTTAGTTCTCACATTTGGCAACCAGGTCTTATGGTCTTTAAGTTGTTTCCATGCCTTCTTTACACCTCCTGTTTTCTCTATTTAATTTTTTATTATGTTTAGTTTGTTTACTTTGTTGTGTTTTCTAATACTCTCTGTGATTTCTTTGCTGGTGGTTTCTATTCTCTTTGTATTATTTCTTCTGTCGTGAAAAAGGGTTTTTCTTATTTCTATAAGTCTTCGGGCATTTTCTCCAATTCTGTCTTTCCTTGTTTTATTCTTTGTCCTTTATAGATATTTAATATAAAGTTCTCCATTTCATCGTATTTTTGCTCAATTGCTTTTTCCGACTGCATATCCGGTATCATCTTTTCCAGCTCCGATTTGACCTCATCAGCCAAACGAGGCATTATTTGGTGTATGTCACAATTAAAGTATTTCCTTGATTTTCTAGTGTTCTGTGTTATTATTGTTCCTCTTACCATTCTATGGTTTGTGTTGAAATTTAGTCTATTAATGATTTCTACATTGATAAATTGGTAAGGCATGTTGGTTAGAATAAAATCAATGGCATTCTTATGTTTTCCATCAGGAGAGATCCAGGTCCATTGTCTTGCTGTTTTTTTCTTGAACATACTATTCATTATTTTGCGGTTATATTCCATTGCAAAATTGCATAGTGTTAATTTTGTTACTCAATTTCAAAAAAAGTAATGTAATTTTTTACCACGCCTTCAAATCTCAATTTATCGTGCCTGATATCTTTACCAAGTAGTTTCTAATAAATCACATAGGCGGTAAACAAAGTCCTTTAATTTTTTGGGTTAACATATAGCCTATGACACTTACAAATAACGTGGCTTTCCATTGGTTAAAGAATTTTCTAATTTGGTTCCGTACATCCAGAGATCCCCTACAAGTATAGACTTATCATATTTTATGTTATTTTAACTTCTCAGGAGTTCAGAAGCTGAAGTGAAAAAGTTGAAAAGCTCAATGGGCTTGGACGCAGACAGTGATCTGGCCCTAAGCCTCGTGAGCGATAACACGCAGCGATTAACAAGCGCGGTCAACTCATTGCCACAGCTTATGGAAAAGAAACGTCTTATTGATTTACACACTACCATAGCCACAGGTAATTCATTCTAAATTAATTTATGTTACTCATTCGTTTTTACAGCAGATATTTAATTTTTGATGATACAATTGTACCTCGATAGCTCGTTAGCCCGTTCGGCCCGTGATCGTGGAATTTATGAAACTGTTGGCAATGGTTGGTCGTTAGTTGGGTGACCACAAACTAATTATCTCGAGCTCCTCCGTCCTTCGATAGGTACTTTTAACCGTTTGGTCCTGGCTGTATCTGCAGTCGTTAGCACCCACCAATCCGCACTGGACCTATGTGGTGGGTCATGCATGACCCATGCCATAGCTCAATCTTCCTATTCCATCCATAGGAAAATTGAAGGCCTGAGCCCCAGCAGTGGGGACAGTGATAGGATGATGAATTTTCCCTACTGTTAAACTATCAACAACAACTTATCAAAGTTTTTTAAAACTTCATTATAAAGTTTGTATCAATGAGATCAATGCTTTTCTGTCATTGTCATCTTTCTATTGTGATGTTAGTCATAAATATGATAATATAAGAAAATGAGTAAATATGAATTTATATAAATAAAATATACAGCTATGATTGTAGAAAATTGTGTGAAGAAATTTACATTCTGATGACAAAGTATATTGAGCTGTATTTGTATTTTATTTGTTGTAGCAATCCTCAACGCGATAAAGTCTAGAAGGTTGGACTCGTTCTTTGAATTAGAAGAAAAGATAATGAGTAAAAGCAGTAGTGTAGAAAGTAAAGCCGTTGTGGACTTAATAGCTGACCCAAGCGCTGGTACAGAAGAAGACAAAATGCGCCTTTTCATAATTTACTATCTGTGCACCTCGCAAATACCCGAAGACGAATATAAGAAGTTCGAGACTGCACTGCAGGAAGCTAACTGCGATATTAAACCGATGACGTATATGAGAAGACTAAAGTGAGTACAAGATTGATTTACACTTGATCTTAAAATGGTGGATACATTTTGACATTGACGCTTACATGTCAATAAGAGCGATTTTTGTAGAGCAGTTATATTGAAAGTGTCTAGTATGCAAATACAGGTGACGATGATAACTTGTACCTTATATTTTGTTCATTATTTCTACAAAATTTAGGGGTATGTTGGTAACTTGAATATAATAATTAGTTAAAAGCTAATCTGGTGTTGGTAAAAGCAGATTGGAAAAGTTTATTGCAAAAAAAATACTTTTTCCCTAGACACATACCCCCTTATTAATAAGCGAAGAATAAACTTGGATAACTTACTCCATGTTTTTTTCTCTGTTCATTGATTGACAAATGGCATTCGTTTCTCGTTCATTTCTTGTTTATTAATAAGGGGCTGATGTGTATATTTATTACGTGCTGCATTCACTTTTTTGATGACTTTTCTCTACCACACCTTTAAACCTTACATTTAATCTACAGAGGCTTCACAAAAATGTCGAGTCAATATGAAGGCGGAGGGACAAAAACAGTTTCCATGTTCTCAAAATTGGTGTCGCAAGGTTCTTCGTTTGTAATGGAAGGGGTGAAGAATTTAGTAGTAAAGAAACATGTAAGTATTTACTATTAAAATAGTTTCATGTCCATTTATGTATCATTTTTATTTGAGGTATTTTTTTTCTTCATTAATGGTCTATCAACCAAAACTTGTTGCACTTTTGTTTTTTAAACAGCTCTTATTGCCGATTTAATGTAGCGTGTTGTGTGTAACATATGTGTAACAAGAGAAAACGACTCATTCAGAAACTGCCTGAGGTCGTTACTTAGTTGACATAGATAAATTCTAATTCATTTATTCTCTAGAATTTACTCTAGATAGAGCGTCACCTTGTAAACAATGCAAAATAGACCAGGTTTTATATAATTGTGTGCGTGACAGGCAAAACGTAAGACGTGAATCTTATACCTTACATTCGCGTAAATGTCATTATTTTTGTCTCTGTGCGTATAGACCAGGTTCGATAATTTTTGAGACAAAAAGAAAATAATAGTAGGATGAAACCCATTGGAAAAGGTAGAGAATATAACCAAAATGGAAGGAAAAAAAATACGGGCGATCTGAGGTCGGGAAGGGAGAGGGGGTGAGTTTTTAAGGGTAAAAAAGGGTTAATCTCGATTTCCGGTAAAACTGCAAGTCCTGTGAAAAAAAGTTAATTGGCAAAGTTGTAAGTAATAAAAAGATCTACAACTTTTGTATCGACACTTTTTTCACATAAACTCAAAATTTATGTGAAAAATTCGAATAACCGAGTTTTTGGTTTTTTATTTTTATTTTTTGCAAAACAAAATATTTTTTCAAAAAATTTAGTGAAAACTTACCTTTGTATGTTCCAAACATACAGTATTTTTTTTGATTTAAAATATTAATTTTCTCACCTTATTTTGACTTAATAGGTATCGAAAAAGCATCCTAATTTTCAATCAAAAATTCTCACGTCAAAATATCTGCTTTTTTTAAAAAGTTGGTGTGTTTTTTGTTTGTTAATATCTCTTCTTTCTGATGGTATAAAAAAAATATACACTTCTAAGGTAAATGTTCTCAGAAACTGCAAATAGGACTTGCAGTTTTACCGGAAACCAAGATTAACCGTTTTATACCCTTAAAAACTCACCCCCCCCACCGTTCCCGACCTCAGATCGCCCGTAATTTATTTTTCCTTTCATTTTTGTTATATTCTCTACCTTTTCCAATGGGTTTCATCCTACTATAATTTTTTTTCGCTTTTTACCATTTTTAAAATTATCGACTCTGGGGCCCAATTCTCGCGGCATAAATATTATATCACCTTCGATATATATCGAATGATCTGGCTTTTATCGCAGGAAAACCTTTTTGCCCTATTCTCACCATGTCGCAATAGATATTTATCTACGGATGATCAGTAGACATACATCGACTGGTAAAGAGCCTTCGGTATATGGATCTTGGCATGTCAATCTTGTTATTTCCACTTTTTTACCTATTATTTATGTGTTGTCGTGTGTCATTGCCAATTATTGTTACCTCAAGATGTTGTTAACTGCCTTCATAAATAATTAGTAAATAAAAAAGTAGGTAAACAATGGTGTCGATTCTGGCGTAATTCTCTAAACTTAAAACTAAATTTAACATCAGTCTCTCTTTTTCATTCTGTATAGAGGATGACAAGGAAACACTGTTGTCAAGTTTAAGTTTATTAAAAGATAGATAAGATTTAGAGAATCGTGCCAGAATCGACACCAGTTTATATTAACGATGGATGAGTTGATTCATGTTTTCGTCAATGATTTAATAAATGACGTGATTGCTGCTGCTGTGCTAAGGCGCCGCCGTTGTGAGAGCAAGAGAGCCGATTTGAAATGAGGGACGCCGACTTCATAAAAAAATTACGTTTAAACAAAAATTTGGTTAGAAATCTATAAAGTTATGAATGACATTGGTATCGGTTCTGACACGATTTTCTAAACTTAAAACTAAATTTAACATCAGTCTCTCCTTTTCATTTTGTATGGAGAATGACAAGGATACACTGTTGTCAAATTTACGTTTAGGTTTAGAGAATCATGCCAGAATCGACACCATTTTCTTATTGACGATACGAAGTTTTTGGCGGGATTTCTGCGAGTGCGGTTGGCGTCTTATTTTAATTATTCTAAAATTCGTTCATAGTAGATATTGTGAAATAAAATTGGTGTGATTTGGTGTTACAACCGTCTGCGCAACTGAAGAATTAGTGGAATCTTTAAAATATACGTACGCTATTCCGGTCAAGTGGACGCGAGAACTTTATTGTAGTGTTGACTACCTGACAGAAGCTTAGAGAAAAAGCCAACTCCATAAATTTCGTGCCAAACACTCCAAGAAACATTAGAACGCGTCACACCGACATTCTAATGTAAAAAAAGAAGATTAATATAACAAAGACTAGGCTGTATGGGCATTGTTCCCTTTGCCTTCCCTGAAAAGGGAGAATTTTAAATAATATTGACGTTTCATTATACATAACATTGAAATTATATACGCATACAATTTAGGTAAAGTTGAGATTTCTTATACTCAAAAAATATATACTCATATTTAATATGAATGGAATTCATAAAATATAAAATACCATTTTGTTGCTTGTTAAATTCTGCTCTAATTTATTATTATTTTATATAGACTATGATGTTAACTTAATCGAGAAAAACGGAACGCATTCGTCAGTGAAAGAATATCTACGATAGATATAATATCATTGGAATATCGAAAATCCACGAGAATAGCATTTTTTACCATCAGTAGATATTTTCAATAGATATCCCTACTTTCGATATTATCTCGAAGCCGATATAATATCTACGCCGCGAGAATTGGGCCCCTGGTCTAGTATGCGTTAGGCCAGGACCAGGTTAGGTCATATTCCCCAAAAAAATGGGTAAACTTAATCAAAATTATTATATGTATTGTTCACACAATTAGAAATCATAGACGTTAAAACATCTGTAAAACGTATTTTACTTGGATATTTGTTACAAATTTTAATTTAGTCGAACTAAAATAACAGCAATGTAATATAGAAACAAACAACACAATGGACCTTTTTTTAGGGTTCCATAGTCCTGACAAGGAATCCTTATAGTTTCGTCATGTCCGTCCCCGGTTTTGCTTTGAGACTATTAGCACTAGAGAGCTGTAATTTTGTGGAGATATCTATGAGCGTGCTGTCCTTGTGACATGTTTAGCACCACAATTTACATTATATCACGTTCTTAATCGCATGTAACTGCCAAATTCCATAGTTATTTGACAATAGGGAAGATGCATATATAATATTTATGAAAATTTTATGATTAAAATGTTAAAAAAATATAAAAGAAATGCCACTGCAACGTTTTTATTTTATATAATGTTGTTTTTTAACAATTATTACGAATTAAAAATACTTCAAACGGAACGTATTTTAAAACACCAATCAGCGTTTAGTGACGTCACTCCTGTAATGACAACTTCTTTGAGGTTATGGTTGTTAAAGTAAATATTATTTTATGGGAATATTTATTGCGTTTTTTTACATTTAATAAAAATGGAAGTTGCGTTTATCAAAGCAGACTCCAGGAATTTACCAAGAGTTAGCGTTGACACGATTATAACTTTTTTTGTCCAAAGTGCAGAGTTTTTAAGTGTAGAAATGAAAGGGACTATATTACTACGGTATGTAAAAATCGTAGTTTATTCGTATTTTATTCAGCGGCTTCTACAAATCTTACGGCGATAATGCAATCGGCTATGTCCAAATTAAAAGAGATGGAAAATTATGTACAGTAAAACGTCGAGTTCTCCGGAGCATAAACTACGTAAAGAAGGTTATCGTGTTACAGTTATTTTAAATGAAACGCAAAGCTTGGTTCAGTCCTGCCAATGTGAAGATTGTGCCACACATTTTAAACTTTATCTAATTTTCGACGTTATTCTCCAACTGTAAAATTAAAAATATGTTATAGACAAGTTTTGTAAGTATTAGGTAGGTTACTAATGGGTTTTTACGTACAAGCAGATTAATTAAGCATATAACAAGTATATTCGCCGACTTACGTCAAAGTGATCATCGAATAATGGTCTTTGGAGAAACATTGTCATTTCACTTCGCAGCTTGAAACCACTTTTTTTTCAGTTTTGGGTCAGAAGTTCAAGTCAAAAACAATTTATTTGGAAACTTTGTTGAAGTAGATTGGCACAAAACATGAGTCAACACGGCTTTTTTTCGGAATATTAGTGGTATTGTTATGATGTTGATGGATAGTCCATTTTAAATTTTTTCAAAGAAATATTTCGAAAGTCGAAAAAATATGCAAAAGTATGAAAATTTAAAGCCAGCGACAAACAAGTACGACCAGTGACAGACAGGAGTGACGTCATCGCAACCATAGGTTCGTTTTCGCGCGAAAATTTAAATTGTCAATTTAAAACCGCATTTTTTCCGATAAATCACAATGTTTTAATTTTTTAATATATCTGTGGTTTATTCTACATGGAATTCTTTAAAATGAAAACAAAAATAAAAATATTGCATCTTCCCTATTGAGCGTGATAAAAACGAGCTATAAATATCATATCGCCGTCATGCTAGGGGGCTGGTGCAAGTTGGCAATTGCTTTTGAATTTGTATTTGCTTAGGTGGCACGCAATGCGTGTTCCGTGCGTTCCATCTGCCTTTCGTTCTGTAATCTGAGGCTGGTTTTATCATACAATGAGGTTGGTTAATTTGATGTATGGGCTTAGTAGATGCGTTTCAAAAAGTCGTTTCCAAAGTCGTGCGCTTCAGCGGTGAGTCTAGCGTGTGACTAAAACCAGCCTAACTATTCAACAAAAGGGATTGTTGTCCCGCTCAGAAACTGCCTGCGAGTCGTACCGTGGAAACGGCTCTCAGTGACGGCGAGGCGGGCGCCGAGTTTACTTAAAAAGGTATTCATAACCTATAATTACAATATTATTAAAATCGTTGCATTGTCGGTCCTTCGATGTAGCCTATTTGTGTACATACATCCCGGCAAACTTCTTGAGCAACGTTCGTAGACAAAGGAGCCTGCGCAGTAGCAATTTTACATACGAAAACGTCTACTGCGCAAGTTTATTTGTCTGTGGTTTTGCTCAATATGTTTGCCGCGACTTATACGTACCTATTCGATATTTGACGACCGCCGTGGCCAAGTGGTTTGTACGCAGGGTTTCAAGGTGTGTCCCGGTGGGGGCAGATGTTTGTGTAATGAATAAGAGCATTTGTACTCCAGTCATGGATGTTTAATATGTATTTCAAAATAAATATACTTATATATGTATTCTATCCGTTACCCTAGTATCCCATAACACAAGCCTTACAGTGCTTACTTTGGGGCTAAGGCTAATTGGTGTGTGTTGGAAAAAAATGTTTATCTTATTCAACAAAATGAATTGTTGTCCCGCTCAGAAACTGCCTGTTAGTCGTTCGGTAGAAACGGCCCTCAGTGGCGGCGAGGCGGGCGCCGAGTTGACGAGGATGGATATTCATTATAATATTAATACAATCTTTCTACTAATTTTTTGGTCCTTGGGCATAGCCTATTTGTCTATATATTTTGTTGTCCCGTTTAGAAACTGCCCGTGAGTCGTACGGTAGAAACGGCCCTCAGTGGCGGCGAGGCGGGCGCCGAGTTGACGTGGACGGATATGCAATATAATATTAATACAATCATTGTACCAATTTCTTGGTCCTTAGGCGTAGCCTACTTGTCTATATATTTTGTTGTCCCGCTCAGAAACTGCCTGTGAGTCGTAGGGTAGAAACGACCCTCAGTGGCGGCGAGGCGGGCGCCGAGTTGACGTGGATGGATATTCATTATAATATTAATACAATCATTGTACCAATGTTTGGTCCTTCAGCGTAGCCTACTTGTCTATATATTTTGTTGTCCCGCTCAGAAACTGCCTGTGAGTCGTACGGTAGAAACGGCCCTCAGTGGCGGTGAGGCAGGTGCCGAGTTGACGTGAATGGATGTTCATTATAATATTAATACAGTCATTGTACCAATTTTTTGGTCCTTCGGCGTAGCCTATTTGTCTATATATTTTGTTGTCCCGCTCAGAAACTGCCTGTGAGTCGTACGGTAGAAACGGCCCTCAGTGGCGGCGAGGCGGGCACCGAGTTGACGTGGATGGATCCACGCGCCGCCCGCACGGACGCTGCCGCCCGCGCCCGAGCCGCACGGCACCCACCTCCTAGCGACGCGGTCGTGTTCCTGGTGGGGGGCGGCAACTACATAGAGTACCACAACCTCATCGACTTCGCCAAGGTGAGCTCGTATCTGCAATACCCTTCCTCACATACGATCAGTATGTATAAATCATTGTCATCAACCTGTTAATGTCCCCAATGATGGGCATAGAGGACTATGGATGGCATAGGCTCACCACACTAGCGCAGTGGGGATTGGTGAATGCTAACGACTGCAGATGCAGCCGGGACCAACGGCTTAATGTAAGTATCGACGTGACGTCTATTATGGTCATTTCATACTAGCGCAATGTCGAAGCGCAAAGAAGCGTCATTCAGAAACGTAACATATCAAATTCACCCTAATCTTCGCAACATAATGCACATATGGAGAATATGTGCATTATGTTGCGAAGATTAGCATATAATCAGCATTGGACGCCTCTTTTTTTGTCTTAGAGGGAATGATATGTGTACTACTTTGCGAAAGTTAATGAATTATCGATTAATATCAGTTAAGTTAGGTCTTCGATCAACAATTCTATAGATAACGGGTCAGCGTGTAAAATCCGTCTCGGTAAATATAGCCTCACTTGTGGCGTGAGATGTTATTTTAAATTAGTTCGGTTAATCAGAATGAAGTGACTCGCTAGCCGATGACTGCTAAAAACTATTTTATTTTCTGGGTGATAAGGTTGATTTCACATTTTCATATTTTTCAAGTATCAGATATAAGAGGAATTTATAAGAGGAACAAGAGTTCGTTTTATAAGATAAAAGGACGTATGTGCCAAATAACATTGTTATATGTAACCTTATTCCTTGTGAGATAGTTGTTATTATAGTCTGTCCATTCATTTATTATCTTTTTGACAGATCGATCGAAGTATAAATAGTGACACCCTATCACACAACTCGTTCGATTTAAAGCTATAATCGATGTTATGCTACAACATTGTTTAATCGATTATAAGTATCGAAATTGTTTTAGTTATCAAAAATACTGGTGTTTAATAAATCATTACAAAATCTCATTAGATTTATTATTTTACCTAGTACAAATATTTGTGTGATGAGCACGAGTGAGTAGTTATTCTGTGTCTGGGTGTGATTTATCTATAATATGCTTACTGCTTTTTATATGATTGTTTATCCTAATACTATTAATCTGTACAAATCGATTTATTGATTATAATTAATAATTTCATTTAAAAAAGGTTTATAAAAAACTATATCTTTGACTTTTTACTCATTTATTTCTAGTTGTACTCATTTATTTCTACCGATTATTTGTAATCTGTGGCACGATCTTAGTAATCATTATGTGTGGCACATCACTAAGTGGGCGGTACCCGTCCATGAAGTACAATATTATTTGTATGACATTTTAACGTAAACAATACAAAATCTCATGGGCGTCGATATGTCAAAAAGATAATAAATGAATGGACAGACTATAGGTTCAACTTAAACTATTTTAAAACAATTATCTTTGTTCATTAGGAATCGAATGTAGCTGCATAAGTTTAAACATACGCGAACAGTTTTTAGCTTTGATTTTGTATGCAACCCGTTATCTGACGCTCACAGTTTATAAAATGTCTAGGTGTAGGGGAGCGGGGAGCACATTGTTACAATTTTTAGATAGTTGTTAAAATGACAAAAGCTATCAAATAAATTATACATTTGATTACTTGTAATGTTAATATGTCTATTTAGCTATTAAAATATGAGTGAAAATTTGTTAAATTTTATGTAATTTTTTCACAATGGAGAATTTAACTAAACAAGTAGATCGTAACATCTAACCCCGAAATTGGGGCTAGTTGTTACATCGGGGCACGATGTTATGGTAGATAAATAAACCAAATCATCAGTGATTTTTTTATTAGTATTTCAAAACGATATAAACAAAAGAGATCACTTTATAGTCTTCTAACATTTATGAGTAATTATAATATCTATTATGGTAATTATTTAAGTTTTTTTTTGTAGAAAATCGCTTTGGCAGGAACATTTTTAAATCTTATATTTGTTTTGTCTTTTGCCTTGTATTTGTATTTTATTCGTGTTATTTATGTTACTGTTGTGCAATAAAGTATTATTATCTTATCTTTATAAAAACACAGACTTAGTATGCAAATAACAACTTGTAGTAATTAAATGATTCACTTTCACTTTTTCAAAATTTCGTAAAGAAATTTTTACTTACTTGGTTGAAATCGGAACACACGCACACAACCTAGCAGCTCGGCGCTTGGCGGGTCACTGATTGTTTTTATCTAATGCACGACGTTATAAGAAAACAAATGAGTCCAATTATGTCCATCAAAGTGTTTAAAATCCCGGTAAAAAACGCGTGTAACTTCTTACCCCTGTAACAAGGTGCCCCCCGCTCCACTAGTAATAGATAAAAGCTTCTAAAATACACATAGCTGAAATGTGCAAGAGAGTGAGGAAGATAGTTAGGGTTATGAGAAATCTTCGAGATGCTGTAGATGGGAAAAGTCTTAAAGATGGTATTATATCTGGCTTTCTGTCAAAATGTAACTAACTACTGCATCCTGGTTTGTGGAGGCGCTAGTTCTTTAACATTGCTTCCACTCGAGAGAACACAAAGAGCAGTTTTAAAGGTGGTACTCCGAAAACCTATGCTTTTTTCAACTAATGCTCTTTACACAGAAGCTAAGGTCTTAAGCGTCAGGAGACTGTAATTGTGTCCAATGGCTATAATGATTTGGTTAATAAACGTATAAATAAATTACCCAATATCACAATGTGAATATCTTTTTCAAAACGGTTCGGATCTTTCCTTTTCCATTTATTTATAATAAATTAGCAATCATTTGTCAACTTAAAAGTGTACTGTGAATGAAACGAAGCGACTTGTGTCCATAGCTGTAATGAATTTGACATACAAAAAAATCTGAAAACATAATGGATATATGATAGATAAAATACGTGAAACACACACACACACACGCGCACCACAAAAAAATGTATGTATTTATATAAACGTATTCTGTAAATCAACTCTGCTTTTCGCTTTGAGCCCACAATTTTTTCCGATGAGCACCACAATTTGCAATATATCACGTTTTTTATCGCGTATTACTGTCAAACTTCATAGTAATTTGACAACTGAGCGTGATTAAAATGAGCTTTATATCATATCGCGGTGATCATGCTAGGGGGCAGGACAGGCTAAGCCTAGTGTGGTGGCTAGAACTCTGTAAAATTGTTGTGAAATTTGGAAATAAATAATTATCATCTATAGATTTGTTGATGGAAGTTAGGTAGATTGTTTTCAACAGTCATCGCGACATTTTGCCCTCTAATGACGGTATGTATACCTATTGTACCAATTTCTAAAATTGGACTCTTTCGAACCAGGGAGTGAGATTTTGTTTTAGCAAATCGATAAGATTTTAATACATTTTTGAAATTAGGTTCCACATAGGATATATTCAACAATGGAAGAAAGAACTATAAAGCAAATTAAAAACTTGTTTTTTTTTGTTTCTTTCCAGCAACAAGCAGCTAGCGGCACGCCTAGAAAGATTATCTACGGATCCACTACGTTGCCTAACGCATCTCAGTTTTTAAAACAACTATCCCTATTAGGAGAAGAGATCCAATGAACATTCCCGATCCGACTAATATATTGTATAATAATTATGATATTATAAATTATTACTATGTATACACCTACTTCTAGAATATGATTTGTATAATTTACTTAGGCTTACGGATGGACAATGAATGAAACATGTTTCAACAAGTTGGCATTTTATTTACAATGACATTGAAAATATAGCTAACATCTAATACACTACTAATAATTTTGATTGTTTTGAACAAGAAGTATAAAATCTAAATCACAAGAGTAGTATTTTTTTAACAGTATCAGATCTAAAACCATGAACAATACGAAGCCTCATAAAGTTCTCGTGATGGCAATATTTTCAAACCCAATGTACAAATAAAATTTAATATTCATAACATGTTACAAATATATGTTTTGAGAATGCCCTGAAATAAAATCCGAATTTCCCAGCCCTTACACTATTGTGCTAATTTAAAAACTAAACTGTATAATATGATCAATTATTTTAAACACGTACATAATAATCCTCGAAAAATAGCCTATATGTGTTAGGTATTACTCTAATATTATTAATAAACATATATTAATAAAGAAAAATATCTGTATTAAGTGAACGAGGAACTTGAATATCTTAGTACTGCGTAAATAGACAATAAATAATATTTTCTGACGGATAAAAATATTAATTAGATTATTTTCAAACTGACAACAACCTGATATAACAATAAAAATAAATAATTCTTATGAATATAACTATCACGGAACATGATATGGTTTTGGCACAGTAATTAAACAAAAATAAGGCCTAAGAGAGACATGCGACAGTGTACATTCAACGGACTATTATTTATCTCCCAATCTACTCGACATCCCCTTCATTTATATAAAACATCACAATCACCACATAGTATGGTTAGATTGAACACAATTCCCTTACCTTTTAGCAACAAAATTGCTTGAAACTTAACTCAAAAACCATTTTGTTGCTACGTTTGTTTATTTCAATAGACAATAGACATATGAGTTAACACATAATAGTGAATGAAACATACAAAATATTAAACCATAGGTTTGAGTTATTTATTATTATATGAATTAAGTAAATATGATTGTTAAGTAGGTAAACCAGTTTTACGTAAGTATTGTGAGCTTCAATGTTATTTCAACAAAATATCGACCCATTTCTCTCATAAACCTTATAACGATTGAAGAGAGCACAAATATAAAACGATAATTATGATAACACAGTGTAGTCATGGCAAAATCACAACAACATAATATATTAACAATTGCAATTTTCAAACTTTTCAAAAGAGATTATATTTGTGCATAAAGAAAACAAGATCATTTAAAGTTCCAAACACAAGCACTAACACGTAAGATAAGGTAGTGTTTTGTATCTAATGTAAATATCAAAGTCATGTGTACATAAATATCAGATAAAATCGTTAATGTCATACAATTATTAAAAATATTGTGCGTACAAAAAACATTATATTATAATTGAAAACACTTGACAAAGCATATATTGATAAAGCTATCAAATTAATAAATTCACATGATAAAAATGGCACATACATAAGCGCCCAACACTGTGACTGCATAAAATAAAGTCTTCAAACTCAGGACTAAATTCAAGAATCAATTTAATTTTTTTATTAATCTCAAAAAAAACTGAAGATTGACTCACGATAATAGCACGATGCAAACTTCATGACGACTGTGATGCTGATGCCCGCACTTCTTCACTTGCCTATTCGTATTTGCTACTTGTAAACTTGACAACCGTCTGTCCTTACCATGATTTATAAGGAATGAAAAGGACAGACTGATGTCAGCAAACACGAGTAACCAAGTGGAGTATGAAGTTAACTTAAGGTCACAGCGCAGTAAACGAAATTCAGATGTACGCTGGGTGTCAATCTGAATGCCCCTAGCATTGCGCTGCGCTCGCTGCCAACTTTGGGTTTGAATCGCAATATACGTGTGAATTAAGGTCTGTATTATATCGTTTTGGAATGAGACTGATTCGATGACATGTCGCCACGTCATCATAAACGCCATGAACAACGTATGATGCCGCATTGAGCAACGTTAGCGGAAAGCGTGCTCCTTATGACTCACTTTTTTATGTTAAAAGGGTGGAAACCAAGCATATGGGCCAGCCTGATGGTAAGCTGGCACCACCAAAATACCTTTTTAAGGAGCGAAATAATGAAATAATAAGTGGCCGCATAGAAGCACTATATAGATCTATCTTACAGCTACGACAACGACCCAAAAAGATAGCTAGGTGATCCATTTTATCTATTTACTTTTGTAAACACTAGCAAAGTCCGCCATTTACTGTATTTTGGTAAAGAAGAATAAAATAAATAAATAAAGTCAAAATACCTTTAAAAACTGAAACACTTGCTATACATATGTATGCAAAGAGGGATTTTGTCACAGTGTCTGGCTACCCATTAAATAACACCGAAATAAATACGAAAATAGCTAAATTTTAACGTGCCCTTATAAAACATAGACAGATCTAAGTAACAGCGTCAACAGATTATGCTTATATCTAATGAATCCATTACAAGGACCACAAAAGTACTAGTTACACAGATTAAGGCGCATTTAGACGAATATTCCGTGTATACTACACTTAAAATATTAAAACCTTATGCAATATAATGCTTTATAACAATCAAGCAGTACATGTTTATGGAAATACTTAACGACAGTATTAATTTGTCAACAAGTAAACTCATCCCTTAACATAATGTAAGTATAATTATGATTGTAATGGACTTAAATGCCATTGACAATTTATAACATACGTCTAATTACTAAGTACGAAATTAATTGGTACAATTTATTTTTAAGGGGTCATGGTCAAGTAGGTATATGAAACATTCGTCATTGGAGGATACAAGATATAGGTAATACGGTTATTCTCAAATAAAAATAGGTACGACAAATGATATTCTCTTTAAACAAAGAAAAAAAATGATTTTCTAGCGTTAAGTTTATTTCAGTACAAACTAAACAATCTTAGACATTCTTTTATTTGTTTAGTGAAACGTAAAATAGTATTATACTTTTCTACGCAGTGTTTTGTTCACATCACAGAAAAATAATTTATAATTTGATGAACTGCGACAAAAGATTGAGTAACCAGACGTTATGCAAGGGTTACATCTCAAAAATCATTGCACAAATCCGCAAAAGAAACGTTTAATTTTCATGTCAATATAATTATAATCATTGTACAAACAAGATTTATTAAAATTTCTACACAAGGAAGACAAAGAGTAGGTAAGTACTAATAAGGTAGAAATATAACTTTTTTCAATCCCTTCAGCACAAAAAAATCAATAGAACTCGTGCAAATTTACAAATAAAACCAATATTTCTCTATTAATTCAATTAAAAAGCTCGGACGGTAGATACATATCAATCTAAATGGAATATGTATCTTCTCTAAGTGTGGCCTTTTTTTATAATTTGTAAGTCATAATTATGAAATAGCTATGATATAACATAGTTATAAGATGTTTACAACAGATGGAATGTTCGATGAATTTATTAAATTGTGAACTCTAATGTATTTTAAGTTCTTTACAAATAGGCCGTATTTGAACTGCTACATAGGTGGAAAATAACAGAGAGCATTTTTTACAAATATAACGTACGCTTAATCGAATACGCTGGCGTGCACGCTTATGTTTACACTATTTTTTTAGTACAGTATTTGCGTTATTTTAAAGTTCGGTGTTCTTGATGCACGTTACTCATTACGTGCAATATTCGCAACTAAATGTATTATGATGACAGATGGTAATGGTTAACACAAACTTTGGACTGTATGACTGTACTAATTAGTCAGCGTGCTATAAACATGCGTACATCTCTTGCACTGCGTATCATCAACTCGTATTACGAATTATTGTCATGGAAATCGTTATTGCAAAGATATCACGACATTGTGATCGCTAACTCTTTATGTTCTGGCGAATGGACTACCGATAAATTAAGCGCGAAATTTCCAACAAATCATAAATTGGTGATAAAATCGCAAAAAAATCATTAAAACTTACAGTATCACCACCAAAACTAAATCGTATATTGTCATCAGTTCAAATACAGACAGATAAACCCTTAAAAATAAACTATATAACATATCATTTATTAAATGTGATGAGAATGCTTAATTTAATTCAATGAAATACAATGGTCACTATAAAGCTTCACAAATACACCATTTTGTAAAATACAATAGTCACTATTAAGCATCACAAATACACCATTTTGGAATGTTAAATAAAATTGAATTAGAATCCATCGAAAAATATACATATTTTTTGGTTAATATGGAATGTACAAATGTGAATAATCTAATACACAAATAGTGATAAAAAATCTTTTTATTTATTATTATCACTGATTAAAACGTTTTAATATTTTATAATAAAGTATTTTAAGATTTGTGAAATAATTCTAATAAAGGTACCTACTTAAAAAAAACATCGATATGATTTTTTTCTGCCAATCTATTCCGCTATTTCTGGGTTACAATATTCTAAAACGCCCGCAATTTTCAGTCTTATAGACAGATCAAAATGTTTTTTATATTTTATTTCAGCGCCCATCATAAATACCCGACGGACGCTTATATAGATAGACCCCACACAGGCACTGCTTAATAGGGCAGTAAAGTCCATTTTTATATACTCATATCAGAAAGATTAAGGTTTTTAAATCTTTATAATATATAAATTAATACATATTTTCCTTGGTTACGCCAAACTTGAGAACGAACATACCGATTTCATCCATTTAAGTTCTCTAACATTTCTGGTTTTCTCGGAAAAAATTAAGTAATTTGCGGAAAACTAAAGTTAACGGGGGAAAAGTCGCGGGCGGAAAGTAGAAGCTAGTCTATAATAAAATCAGCAATAAAATCTTTGCATTCGAGCAAAAACAAAAGAGTACAAACACAAAGTTTTAAATGTGTTGGAAAGTGAAACATTAAAAAACAAGAAAAGGACGCAACCAGAGCAAAATGTCCCGACCACACTCGCAGTCTTTGATAAAAAGTAATAATGTGTATAACTCAGATTACAGAACTAAACCTTAGGCTACTACCCTATAATGTTTATTCAAACTGAAATTAATTTCACTAAATTGTAGACTTCTAAATCGAAGAATAATAAACCCTTGCAAAGCAATAGCAAATAATGATATTATATGTTTTTAAAAATGCATTTTTTATTGCATTTTCACTTCATTAGGCCTGTAACATCAATGGCATACAACAAGTCCCGATTAGCGTCCATGACAGGCTTGACTCTAACGCAGCCGTTATGATTTCAACTTTGAATTCATACCAACTGATGATTTAATATAAGGTCAATTAAAACTTAAGACCTTTTTACCTTTTTGGTTATATGCAATATTAGAATCAAGCACGTTATTCTACAGCTTAGATTTTGATTCAGAGTATTAAACTTATTACCAAATTTAATGTAACAGTGCGACATACAAACAAATTACTAACCTACTTCAAAATAGGCATTTGTGATAACCAGACGACAGGAAGGATTAAACTTTAGAATCAGAAAACTTACACTACATATAAGTACCAATAACATTATTTCATGATTTTTAAAAACAACTACTAGGTATTTGAAGGATTAAATAGGTTAATATTCTTTAATATACTTATAACATGATTCCTGTCACAAGTTTAATGTCGATATTGATGATTCAAAATGTACACATTGCAATACCTTTTTTTTAATTTTTATGTTTAGAAGCTAATGAATATTGTATAGTCCATTATTATAATGCTTAGAAAATTCATCATGTATTGTTCCTAATGATTTTGCAACAGGTCTTACATTAAGTATAGGTATATAAGTGATTATCACCATAGCTAAATATTTAAGTCAGTATCTTTAAATTAAAGAGAATGTTGTTTAACCTATGTTATTATTTAAAAAGTGAAGTTCAAGGATAGTTAAAAGTTTCTTGATAAACAATTTATATGATACATATGATACAGTCATGTAAATTTAATAGATCATACATTAAGACAAATCCGCAAAGATTTGAACATGAGATTCCAAGTCACTCCTGAGAAAATAGATAATGGATTTTTTCAGTTTTAAGAGAGTTGTGAATAAGAGAGTTTTAGTTAAATTTGATAAGTTTAAATTTGACAGCAGAATTCATAATATGACTAGGTATAATGTCTTATAACAGTTCGTTGATTTCCATTACCTAAATATGCTTAGTAATTACTTTTTTAAGCAATGCTCCAATTAAAGTTTCAAGCGCTGATAATGTATATATAGCGATGACACAAATCTCAGGCATGTCTGTTAGCAACTGTTTGGACAATGAACATCAATTACTATGGCACGTCTACCAATTTAATAAGTACCACAGACGCTCCAATGAAAATGTGAGCATAACCAACTCACAATGTTTTATAAATTCAATAATTCTGTATTAAGTACCTTTTCAAGCAGATGTAAATATATGGTGGCAGGTTAATTGGTATTAGATTATGCAGCTATTGTTTGGGCTGTGTACGACTCGAGCTGCTGCTGTTTAATGCCATTTTTTGCATTTGCCGGATAACTGTTGTAGCATGATATGCCTGTTTCCAACGAGACTTTGCGAAATTCTTTTTGAGCTGCTCAGACACTGTACCATGTATATTCTTGTTGCTGGCTGCATTTCCAGAAATCCAAGGGTGTGCCAATGCTTGCCTGAAAATATAACAGATAAATTAGACTGCAACTTGTTTTGACTAGATAATCAATAGCCTATTTCATGGTAGAATGGAAGTCAAAGAAAAACATAACGCCTAACTTTCATAAATCTAAATCTATACTAATATTATAAAGCTGAAGTGTTTGTTTGTTTGATTGAACGCGCTCATCTCAGGAACTACTGGCCCGATTTGAAATATTATTTTTGTGTTGGATAGTGCATTTATCGAGGAAGGCTATTGGCTATATAACATCACGCTACGACCAGAAAGGGCGGAACACCGATGAAAAATGTTTCGAAAAGGAAAAAAAAATCCATTTGTGAGCTTAACGGTTAAAGTTTCACAAAAATCACATATGACGGAATTGTTCCCCTTTAAAAGTTCTTCAATAAAGTCCGCGACAGCATATGTACATCTCTTAAGTTAGACTCACTATTAAGTTTTTCCTCAAATTAAGCCGGGTCAGCTAGTCCAATAATTTAGGGCTGCTGTATTCATCCGTCCGGGTTTCCCCGGATTTGTCCTAGTTTACGGGGCGTCCGGGGAGCGTCCGGGCGGGGTTTCATTTATAGTCCGGGTTTAAAAATTTCCTCTTTTGGGTCGATAAATAATCCACCAATTTATATGTCTTTGAAAATAAATAAATCTATTCTAACACTACTGTAACCATAAATGCTGACTTCCAACAAAGATCTGCTTTGTTGCCCAAACTGTCCGCAATAACAGCATTCGTTGCTATGTGGATGACAGCACTGAAACTTTTTACACTGGCCGGTCAAACATCCCTCGGATGGAAGAAGAAGGGTGTAAAGACAGAGTTGTGTCCGAGATTGAGATATTACTGGATCAAGTCTCAAATTGGAGCCAACAAAATTTTATTGGATTAACCCAGCAAAGACACAAGTGGGTGTGAAAATGCTTGTGTGTTCAATAGATCTAGTAAGTACCTCAAGCCTAAATATCGGGTGTTACTTTACAAAGCACTGGTCCTCTGGGCTGGAGCACCCTAATACCAGCTCCTTCCTCTTGACCGGACACAAAAGCGGGCAGTTTGACATATCGATGCTCCTGAGCTCACTCACGCGTTGCAACCCCTTAGCATGCGCAGACCGTACAACACGTAAAAGGACGCAACTCCTACGTGTCGTACCGTCTATACAATCAATGGAGTGTTCCGAGGAATTATTAAACCGGGTGCCAGTAGCCAAGTTTCTTCACAGCACTACACACCGCAGAGAAGCTTCACGCCCACCATCTGGACGCCTGGCGTTCGAGCACCATGTGTTCCAGCGTACCAGCAAGATCTAGAACGAACTTTCCTCATTTTTTTTTTCATATAGCTATGATATGGTAATCTTAAAAAGGCGGATGAACCTTTTCGTTCAGAGCTGGCAACGCATGAGTGGCCCTTGGTGCTGCAAGTGTCCATGGCAGCAGTGACCACTTATTATGAGGTAGACCGCTAGCTCTTTTGCCTACATCAACATAAAAAAGTTGGTTTGTGACATTTTTAACTGTTTTTTTATTGGTCTGTCCGGGTTCTGGGCTTCAAAATCCGGGGTTATCACGCGTCTTATCCTGGTTGCCACATTTTAGAGATGGCAGCCCTAGTCCAATATAATATCGAACGAGTAATTATCGAGTGGGTCGGGATAGTAAGGGATCTGGGAGTACTTCTGAACTTTAAATTGTTAATGTCTCAGTCAGTACATTGCCATGATCACGAACAGGGCTTATCAGGATCGTTTTGCGCACTTGTCGTCCTTTTAGCTCATTGTCCACCATTAAGGTCGTGTTCCATGCTTACTTCCAAAGCATTTTGGAATATGCTAGTCCTATCTGGTTTCCACAATATGAGACCTTTATAAATCTAATAGAATGTGTGCAAATGAGATATAACCTGCAGATTTACACACAGGCATCACTATTTGACCTTTCAAATGCAATAATTACTACCAATTTCAATCTCGCCTTAATTAGTAGTTGGAGTAAGTCTTTCGGTCATACTGTGAACTCTATCTCCTATTACTTTTGATGGAACTATTATTCCTTAGTCTGTAGTCAAGCACTGTCAAAAACCTTGGTATTGTCTTTGATCAGTGTTTTTCTTGGAGATCTCATGTGGAGGCGGTCAGAAAGAAATTTTTTGCTGCATACAACTCGCTCAACCGATTACGTAACGTTTTGCCAACCACCACCAAAATTACTGTGGCGCAGACTCTTTTACTGTCTATCATTGACTACGCTTATGCCTGTTACACAGATCTTTCTGAAGAACTCTTGGATAAGCGAGAGCGTCTGCAGAACTTATGTATCCGATTTATTTTCAACCTTCGTAAATATGACCACTTCTCACACTTTCGTTCTAAACTTAACTGGCTCCCTATTCGCCGGCGCAGGGACTTACACACTCTTACGCTTCTTTACTCCGTACTTTTCTTACCCACTTCTCCTCATTACTTAAAAGAATGCTTCTCGTTACTCTCTTCTACTTCACAGCGCACTTTGCGATCTTCTTCTAATCTATCTCTTGAAATTCCAAGTCATTCTACTGATTTCTTTTCTTATTCTTTCTCTGTGCATTCTGTACGTCTATGGAACTCATTGCCAGAAACTATTCGAAAAGCTCGCACTCTGAACACGTTTAGGATTCAAGTTCGGAGTTATTTCCTATCCCAACAATAATGTTAAATTTTTTCTTCATTCTCTCTCTTTCCTTCCTTAGATATATCTGTTTTCCTTCTTTTGATATTATTATTATTTTGTATTACACCCCTCCTTTTCTCCTTCATATTTATTTATCTTTCTTTTATGGGTTGCCTGGAAGAGATTGCTGCCTAGCTATAAGACCGCCTATATTGTGTACATTCTGTCTTTCATGTTTTTAATTTACTTGTGTGTCTTGTATGGTGTATAACAATAAAGAATATTATTATTATTATCTTAAACATAAATTCAAAATTTGTGACACTACTTATATTGACAGTTTTACCAACTTTTTGCTCTTGACTCTTGAGGATCAGTGCCTGATTTTGGTAAAGAAGTTGTTGTGATCTGATACATAGCCTCCTTGATTGCCCTGAGCTGCTCAGGGCTCTCACTTTCTGTACTTGATTATCATACTCGTCCCACTCCACTTTTTCACTTACAAAATATGGGAATCATTCAATCCTAATGCTTGTGTCACATTTATACAGTACAAAATTTAAAGGCACAAATATATTTTTACAATCAAAACAGCAATCTAATTATGATTTAAGGTTGACCCTATTACCAATACATAAATAAATAACTACCTAGTATCCTAGTATTTTTTGATATTCATTTCATTGTTTTTAATAAAATTTATTTTATCATGCATAAGTATTATACTATGTATAATAAGGTACTTATTTAATTTGGGTAGATCTCAATTACAAAAATATTTAATAAACCCCAATTACTGACCCATTTTTGGTAAGATCATTAGTTTTTATTCCTTTCGCCCCTCTGTATCATAACTCAACATTTGTATTGGAGCCTTTTTTTAAGTGTTTTTAGTTACTTATATAATTACTTGTGTTAATCCATTTGTACATTTAGCTGGTCTTGGGCTGTTTGATAACCCTTTATAAATAAATAAAATAAAGTTTTATTTTTCAAGTAAAAATTTTCTTTAGGTTTATTTAGGTATCAAGCAGTTAAATGCTTAAAAATATAATAACCTAACTTGTTCCTGTAAAATTTGGTGTCAATCTATTAACAAAGGCATATAGTTCTGTAGCTATTGGCAAAGCACTAACAATCTGCCATCATTGCCTCCAGAACAACAACTAGTAAATTTGACTTTGTTGTTGTGTGGATATGCCAGTATTAAACACATTTCAGCCTTTTCATATTGCAGCATTAATGGTCTGAAAGTATTGATTTATGTAAGTTGATGCCACTTGACCAGCCCTAAAAATTTCACATATGCCCTTGGCAAGCAAACAGTGAACCAAGAAAGTGTGATGAAGCACTCAACACATAGAAACATTAAGATGGAATGAATAACCCATCATTTAGTTTTAGCATTGATACACACTTTTTATGCAAATGAGCACTGAACAGTGGAATAACATGTTTTATAAAAGAATAATAAATAAAACTCCAACCAACAAGGTCACAACACATTAACATTGTGTGTACACAATTTTCAATACCACAATTCGTTTTGCTAATTAGTTTTGGTCTTTTAGTGTGATCAAACATTCATTGTTTTATTCAAACTATGTAGGTAAAATTTACCAATAATGATTTTTTCATGAATTAGACAAAATTTTGATTCACCTATTACATTATAGTGACGGATGTAATCTCACTCTATTCTAGATAGCTAGCAGATAATATTTATAGTAAGATTTGTATTTTTAAAAACCAATCACTAGTAGGTATTTTAAACAATACATAACTTATGGTATATTTCTGTTGTCTACTTTGCATTAACTAGAAAAACAAATGATCTTTTTAAAGGGCATGGCTAAGAAACTGCCCTTAACATGTATAATTATTTCGCACTAGCCCGTAACATTAAAATATTTACTTATTAATTATTCCGTGTTAATTATTTTCATATTACTTCTGTGGAGTAATCAAAAGTATCAAAATTGACTTCATGACTATTACACAAGGAAAATGTTCCGTTTAACAAAAATAATTCGTGTAAGTAAATCGAACTATTGTTTTAAACTTTCATGGTCACTAACATAACAGTAATTTGTTATTTATGGGATTATTACCATGTACCTTATCACAGAGTAACTGAGTAACTCTGTGATCATGGCACTTGCAACAGTGCCGAAATATCAGAAACTCATTAAAAACAAAGTACATGGTAACAAAAATTATAGGACCAGTAATTTATGTTATTTACGTTACATAAGTTACTGTTTAAGTACTTTTTGTGATGTGTTAATCAGAGCAATGGGAGAAAAGATATAAGAAAATGCAACATTGATGGCTCTGTAAATAATTTGCAATATCTTCTATCAAATGTAATGTATTAAAGGTAATGGAGTAGTAGTAAATTTTCTTAATTTTCAGAATTGTAACTTTATCAAAAGTTCAAAGACTTTTTTAAAGAAATTTTAAATATTCAGCCATTCAGCATGAAATATTACTAAGAATAATATTTATACATTACTAGGGTAGTTGCTCTTACAAATTTTTATCAGGTCCTTTTTGATATTAAAAAAGTAAAATGAATGAGATGGAATTCCAAATTCTATGAATAAATAAGAGTTTTTTGTCACACAAGGTTTTTAAAATTTTATGAGTAGTAAATAGAAAAATTTAATGATGAATACTCACTTGCAAGTATACCTCTTCTCCACATCTACACACATCAAATGCCGAATGAAGTCCTTAGCTGAATCACTGATGTCATCCCAATATGGTGAGTCAAATTCAAAATCTCCTTTTAATATTTGTGCAAACAAGTTTGCATCATTTTCATCATAGAATGGAGGGTATCCACACAACAATATGTACGAAATTACTCCTATACTCCACACATCAACTGCCTTCCCATATGGTTTTTGTGCAAGCACTTCTGGTGCAACATATCCTGGAGTTCCACAAGCAGTGGCCATTATTCCAGAGTCTTCTATCTTTGATAAACCAAAATCACTTATCATTATTTTGCTATCCTCATCTGCACTATAGTACAAGAGATTTTCTGGCTTTAAATCTCTATGAACTACACCTTGGGAATGCATATAATCAACAGCTTCCAACACTTGTCTAATGAGATTTGATGCGTCTTTTTCAGTGTAAGAGCCTTTTTCTACGATTCTGTCGAATAATTCACCACCTGTCACCAACTCCATAACAAGGTACACTTTGCTTTTGTCTTCATATGTCTCTAACAGCTGGACAATGTTTGGATGAGAAAACATTTTTTTCTCTCCTCCTTCAACTTTTGCTTGCTCACTAAATCTTTTCAACACTCTAATTTCATTCTCCAATGAGTCTTCCTTTCCCTTTAAAGCTTTTTTATCGATAATCTTGCAAGCGAACAGCTGGCCGTTTTCCTTGCTTTCTATCAATCTCACTTCCGAAAAAGCACCTGTGCCTAGCAAATCTTTGACGGTATATTTGTCGTCAATTGATGGTTGCTTCTCCGAATCCCGTGCATCCTTTTTAGATTTTCTCCCAAAATCTTTCTTGCCAAACAGAGGCATCTTGATGCCCCTCGCTTGCAGATGTCGACCTACACTACTACTTCACTACTAATAAATATCTACGTACATATGGCAGATATATCGAGACGACGGACAGAACAATAATCTTACTAGGTGGCTGGCTTCACGGATAAACGAAACGGAATGTTGGCAGAGTATGTTGCGCAGGGCGCTTACCCAAGGTCAGTCGATTTGTCAAAAATTCGTTACGTTTCGTTTTACACGTCTGATTTTAAAAAAGAAAGTAAATATGTTTTTTTTATTATATTTTGCTGTTCCTTTACATAATTGTATTTGTTAAATTGTATGAATATTCGTAAATGTTATTATTATGGCTAGTAACGTCTCTCTCACTTCACAGCACACAGATTCGTATTGCAGTAGTAGTAAGGATGCATTCATACCCAGGGACGTATTTACTAATCTGACGCCCCGGGGCACTTGCGATTTGCACCCCCCAGACAGACAGATTTCGGAGCCTGCACTCCTTCGTTGCCCTAGGGCCCCCACATGCATTTATTCGGCCCTGCACTCGGTTCTCTTCCCTCACTGATGTAATTTCGTTATAAACAGGTAGCTAACCCTTTTATAACGTTTCTGTTTTATTGCTCCAACAGGGAAGTCCTCTGCTGCCGTCCTCAAGCTAAAACGCAGCAAAATGACAAAACCAACTTTTAAGGTATGGCCAAGGAACAGCGCGTTAACTTTAAATTATTGCTATTTTGTAACCATTCATCACATAACGGATTTTTAGACTTTGGGACATGGTTCTAATAAACTGCTTTCGAACACCAAGCTCTGCTGCTTTATAAAAATCTAATAAATATTTTCAAAATTAAAGGAGATTGCTCAAATTGGACAAAAGGAAAAAAAATTGACATATATGGTCTTGGCGTAATTTATAATTTAATTTACAGTCATTAGATTTCAACGGACACCTTTGTATATTATATTTACTTTAAAAAGGACTTTTAATTTTACCGGTTTGGAAAACATACGAATCATTTTTAATGGTTATGGGTGTAGTAACATTCAGCCAAAGACTGATCGAAGTTGTTTACATAACATAAAAACAAATCTATTTTGTAAAGATCGTTAAAATAAATCATTGTTTTATCACACTGTGGTATTAATATCCACAACTATATTATCGTTTTCACTACATGCAAATGTGCTCAGACAATTATTTTATATAGTAGGCGACATCATAAAGTCTATTGCCATACATTTTTCGCCAAACACCTCCATAAACACATTATAATCTGTATATATGTTAGACTTAAAGGTCTATCTATCTATCTATGGGCCTACGTTGCCTGACTATAAATTAATAAATAACTAAAATTATAAGGTGTAGGTACACTAAAAACACTAAAAATCTAAAATATAGTTATATTAAAAACATAACAAAAATAATGAAGCTACTGAATATATGGCTATAGAACCTAAATCTCTTAGCATTCTTTGGTTAACGAGAGTTTAAAAATTCTCTGTAATCTGTGGCTCAATCACACATCACACAGTTTCTGTCACAGAGTACCTTATTATAACCGGAAATGCATAGATGACACCTGATTTTAAAAGTTACTCTTACGCATTAACTTTAAAAACAGGCAACTATCTGTTAATCTACATGCTCTATATACCTGAATCTAATCCATAATTTCGGTCTCCGCTTGATTTCCCTAGTTAACTATAAAACTTATTTGTTTTTTATTATTTTAATATGTTCAGTGTATATGGTTTATAGAAGTTCTCAGGGGTGTCCGTCAATAATATTCGTTTCTACAGTAATTTTTATATAATCTCGAATCTAGGAAACAACTTTTCATGATTATTGGTATTTAGGCCAAACATGTATGGAAGCTGAGCAATCTCCTTTGGTGTTGTAACTTGATTAAATTCCAGGTGAAATATCTAGATCAGACCACAATATTGTGACTGAGTATACCTTAGCAGCGCTATAGTCAAGGATTTGGCCTAACTACCGCGACATTTTTGTAAGCTAGCATTGGAGTATAAATAGGTAGATTTACAGAATAAAAAAAGTGTCCAAATACAGCATTTAGTGCTGTAGTGCTCAGTGCGCAGCTAAAATCCAAACCTCTTTAACCCCTTTCTTGTTATGTATTAATTGCTTCAAAGTGTCAGATAAATGTAGGTACTAAAATTAGATTTGTACTAAAATAACAGAAATTACTTATAAAAATTAGTTTAGTATAAAAATTATTAGTTTCAGTGAGATCTAATCTTCTTAGGTTACCAAATTAATATAAAAATAAAACATTAAAACGTTTTATCAATATCCTCCTGACACTTATCGTCCTTTACAAAGTGCTAAATAAATATCCGAGTGTTTGTTATTAATATGTTAGGCACCTGCAATAAATGTGATTTTTAGTAATAATTTGTTTTACTACTTAATTGATAATAATAATTTGTTATGCTTATAAAGACATTCTTTATCAAATATTTTTTTTTGTTGAAGTGAAACCTCTGAAAAAACCTTCATTTATTTTTTATTCTTCAGGAAAGGTCTCGCTCGGCCTTTGCAACAAAAACTGTTTAATGCTTTGTAAAGTACATTCGACCATAATTGCAAGAGATTTTAGTAAATGGTGTCAGGAGGATAACACGTCCAAAAGTACTATTTTATAAATTGAAAATGAATTAATGAGACCACCATATCTTTTGTACTTGTTAACATCATAATCGGGATAATGCTAACCTAATCTAAAATTATTTAAAATAACTGTCAATGTTTATAAGTCGCGGCACGAAACTCTAGCGCTGACCGTTATTGCGCAGAAGTAAAGACTACGACGTCTTGGAGGGAAACAGAGGTGCGCGGGCAGGCGTGCTTTGTCCCGATTGGCTCTTCGGTCATACTCCGTCCCCCTTACTGGTTGCCGTCAGAGATGAAATATATAAGCATAGGCTCTTTGATTCATCAAACTAAGTCGACAGTCAGATCCGGGCAAATAAAAGTTGTCGAAGAATTTTTTTCAGTCATTTGAGTGAGAGGTTCTAGTTACAGAAAATCGTAAACAAATCCATGCATTCGATGACTTAAGACAAATGAAAAAAAAGTGGTGGTGGACTTAGGGTAGCGAATAAATAGAGCTTGTCGACCCTTGACATTTCTATTCTACTCATCAAAAATATTCGTTTCACATACATTTTCTTGACGTATTTCATAAATTAGAATTACACCTAAAATAAAAACCGTAAGTGACGTCATAATTTTTCATGCGGGCAAAATCAAGCAACTTCACGGGTGTCGACCTCTAGACCTATGGCTTTATTGTTCATACCCCAAAAATTATTCATGTATCTGATCCATAGGAAATTTAAACAGCCGTCTCTCGGACTATAAGTTTAAAACTACCTACTTTTCAAGCACAGTTTCACAATGTAGGTAAGTATTTAACTGCATTTATCATTACGATGAAGTAACTTTTACTTACCTAATAAAGTAGAAATCTTTTTTTTATAAATAGGTCCGACAAATGACTCCACGATCAGTGACGGTGAAGTCCAGATGCGAAGATAGCTGATACTGCAGTTCTACTTGCCACACCAGCCATCCTCACCCTGTCGGCCTGCATGTTGCTTCTTCACACCTCTTTTAAAGGATCCCAGGTTGTAAGAGGGAGAAAACACGTGAGTGGGCAGAGCATTCCATTTACGGATAGTGCGATAAAGAAATGAGTCACCAAATTTCTTTGTACGCGTTGGAATTGCGGCACAGTTAGACGGTGACAACGTAGGCCAGCTTCTGAAGGAAAGGGGAAGGTGGAATAAGGTAGAATAACTCCTCAGAACACTTACCGTGGTACATAGAACGCGATAAGTGACACCACGTCACGTCAATATAGAATAAGATATAGATCTTCATATACACCAAAAATAATACCATTCACACTATATAAATGTTATTTCTCCTTTTTGAATACCCACTGAGTTTACGCTCTGGCAATTCTGCGACATACATTTCTGCACCCCAACCCTCAACTCTACGATTTCCATTGTCTATGAACCCACCCCCTGACGTCACAGTGAAAATCGACCAATCCCGACGGGCACGGTGCTCCACGGCCCTCACAAGTACGTACAGCTAGTGTGGCCGCACCGCGCATCACTTCGCACCTTTTTATCCACTGTTTTCGTTTTGCGACAATAATGTTCCGTTCGATTACGCTATATGCTGTGATGGAAATCGTTTAAAATGTGTACATAACATAATCGTATATTTGTGAAGTTTGTAAATGGTTTCATTTTATTTTTACACCGGATTATCATAGGTTTCTAAAGTTACGTTAGGGGGTGGTGCCGTGATGCCAGTTCGTAAGCAAGGTGATTATATTATCTCAAGTTTAGCATCTCATTTTGTTGTGGTCATTTTACAAGAGTGCAATGAGTTGATCCCTTATTAGTGTACATGCTTATGCGTATCGAAGGGGTTGGTATACGCTTGTCTCTCCCCCAGTTGCGGCTGTTGATTCACATCGATAGCTAGTGGTGTTGCCAACTGTTAAGTAACACGAAACGTGCTTTCATTTATTTTTTTCGTATGATTTTATAAGGAGTTCAAGATCAGGTGCAAGTTTATGTTGAATATTAATATCAAGTTTCACATTCGAACTTAATTTTGAAGTTGAAGAAATATGAATAGTAGGTACCTAATATATAAATTAAAGAAATGACTTGCTCACTGTACAATTATTAAATCTTAAATCTGTGTTGGTGTTAAGCTTTTTCTCTTACATTCTTCAGAGGCCCACCGAGCATTAGAACTGCTGGAAGACTACCACAGTAAGCTGGTGAAACCCCAGGACCGCCAACTGCGTCTCGCCATTGAAAGAGTCATCAGAATATTCAAATCCAGGCTTTTTCAAGCTCTTCTAGGTAAGATTTTACATAAGCCTCTAATTCTCTATCAACTTAGAAGCTCGATCGGCTCACTGAAATACTTACCTACCTCAATGTCAAAGCAATAAGAACACATAAATAATACATTTATGAAGCAGGTGTACTTATTCCAGAAAATCTTCAAAATAATTATTAACTTTAGGTAACCTTAACGTTACCGGACTATAATTTATATGAAGCGTTATGCTTATCATGATGAAGAAATTGTTATCATTATAGTTTTAACAAAGAAATAAGGTAAGAATTATAAAGCCTTTATTAACCAGAATAATATTAAAATAACTAGGAAATAACAGTTCAGTTTGTTAATTATAGATGCGTTAAGATTGAAAAAGAAGAAGTAAGAATATGACATGGCCAATCACGACCATATTTACTTGTGACCATTTATCTATCTGTGACCTTAAATAAGTTCATGTTTGAGTTCATTGAACTATTATCATGCAAAAGTATTGATGAACCACACGTACGCTATTTACGTACTGGACTGTATATATATCTAATCGGTAATTAATTTTTACACTTATGCCACGTTGCCCTTAATACGTCATTGAAATGTATAACGTTAACGGTTTCAAACTCCAAACTTTATTATTTTGCAACTTATTAAAATATAGAAAATTATCAGATTTTCATGAGAAACCTTAGTTGAAATATAAGTGTAAGTAAAATTTCAATAGATATTGGAAGCATTTTCATTTCCCGCATTTTGGCTTCGCAATGTTTACAAAATATTCTGTGGTAGGCACACCGGAATCGAAGTCATGACGGAATTTGACAAAACAAAAATTCGATTTACTTTATAATAAGGTATGTAGTTACTCACATCGTCTATTCAACCTGCTTATCTAAAAATAAAAATCACGAAGCGTGATCGCTCGTCACAAACGATCTTGAATACTTATTCCTTGACCACGGCATTAGTATTGTGATCCGCATTATATTTAGCCGGCTGCAATGAACGACCGACTGGCGTTACTCGGTTAAATGAAAATAGAAGGTAGTCTGGCCATTTGAGATGAGTACCACCGATTTGAGAATCAAAGGCATTTCCTTTGAGAACATGCTGTTATCCTGCCATGTGTTCTCCAGTACCCTTGATTCTCTAATATCAGGTTTGAATACTTGATTTTACTTAAATGTCAACATCAAACAGTATTAAGAATCATCATCATCATCATCATCAGCCTATTAATGTCCCCACCGCTAGGGCACAGGCCTTCCCTATAAAGTATTAAGAATAAGGTGATTAAAATCAAAACATACGAGTCTAAATAATATTCGGTCCTTATATTAGAAAACTATTGAATAATTAAGAATTTATGTATTTACGTTATTTCGTTAAGCAAATACAATAATATGTAAAGAAACAGTATAAAATCTATAATATAAAAATGTTCATGATCTTTGTATAATTATGACATCGAAAAAGTAATAGAATAATATAAAATTATAGGTGTCATCATCGATCAATCGATGGATCTAAATATTATAAGTTTTTTCATAATGTGTTTGTAGCATAGTTCGTAGTTACTTAGATAGTGTACGTAATGGTATCATAATTTATCTAAGCAACAACGAACACATAGGTACATCCTACCTCTACGCCATGTATTTCTTGTCTGTGTAAGCAAAACATCGAACATGGAGCTTAATAATAAAAACTGTATAAACATGAACGAACACAAAAAGACACACTTCAACTACGGAAACCGCAGATAATTATATTTGACACAGGTCTAAGATATTGGGAGCAATAATGATTGTCTGCAAAAGTTTCTGCTTCTTCTCCATTGAACGGCTTTGACGATTATATGCACTGAAAATTGTTTCAACCATAGTCAAACACGATCACTTTTTTTTTCAAGTTTATCCGTTCCTTCAACCTTCCTTCAGGTAAATATTTCGTAGATAACCATTAGATAATCTACTTTGTCGCTATAATTGCCCACCGTTCATTTGTGCCAGAGGTGCCTACATAGTGTAATTGTATATAAAACTTCATTTACAAAGTTACTAATGACACTTATTCATAAACCCAACACTGAAATTAATGACAAGGTGTCCTTGATAAAGAGTCTAGCCGCAACAACTAAGTCGATTTGACCTAGTAAGTACTGAATGTTCTCGCTTGTTTTATTATGTAAATTGGTTTTAATAGTAGGGACACCGGAATGGGGTAAAGGCACACCGAAAAATACGCATACGCATATATAATGTAGGTATGGAAATGCCTTACTTTATATTAATAGACAATTATATAAAAGCATTATTGTGTTTCAAATCTAGAAAATTTTACCATTTTTAGGATAAACTACAATACTTAAGATAAAGCTTTTGAAGAATAAGTTATAAAACTAAAGGGTTTTTTTAACCAAGTTCACCAATCAAATTTTTTACAACTAGGCTGACTCGAAATACACTAAATTGTTTCATTAATTCAAATAGAGAGTGTTTCTTTTGAGTGTCTGTTTAGCACAAATTGCTTTGCTGCGTCAAACAAACATGAATATAATAAAGCCAGATATCTGATACCTTTAGTTTAATATCCGTTTGTCATGGCTGTCTGTTTATTGTCCGTGCTCGAACATTATACAGACTCTATTGAGGGCTGCCTACGTGTCTACCCAATAAGCAGGGCCGGATTTAGAGGTGTTTAGCTCTCTCTTGTCTGGGGCCCTGGGCCACAGCTTCACCTGGGTCGACCACTGAGCATTTGCACCCCGCCTGCCTGGTTGCTGACCCGTCGAAATTGTTTCTCATCTCTTTTGTGGAGGCCCCTGGGCCACAGCCCCGTCTGCCCGCCTTAAATCCGGCCCTGCCAATCGGGTTAGTATTCCGACATTCAATGTTCTCTATCATATCTCTACACAGTTTCGTGGCATGTGAAAAGGTATAAAGGTAATACATACATCAACGTTATCTAGGGATCAAGAACGCACGTAATTAATGCCACCGTTGACTTGGGTTAATTGTCGCAAAAATTGCTACGTATCGTTTAGTTTTACAAAAGGTATGAACATGTTGATAATTTATATTTTGAAATTAAAGAGTTCTGGGAACTAGATTTGCTAAATATTGATTGGCATTTTTTTATTTAATTTACTTTGCCCAGATACTTTTGCTAAGTTTAAGTAAGTTCATATTTTTACCTTTATCAGAAAAAAAGATCTAATCACCATTATGAATTTTATGCGAAAATTCACTCAAGAGGATAAATTAAAAAAAATATAGAGTTAGTACATATCAATTTTCATTTTCTATCCTCATTCATAACCGACAAAGGTTTTTGTAAAAGTTATACAAACTTTAATTATTTAATTTAACTTTGTAAAAGTTTGTATAACTTTTACAAAAACCTTTTAATGAAAGACAATTGCACTGCACCCACTGCACCTATTTTTATTCACATTTCTTCAAAATTTACAAAACTTTGAGAGCTTACTTATTTTATTGAAGAAAGAAGATACTCATTTCCATGCTTCTTTGGCAAATGCTAAGTTTATTAAGTTTTTCATAGTCACATCATAGCTCAAAATTGATATCCAATTGTTAAAATTTTGAATCAGGAAAATGCAAGTGCTGTCTTTTCTTTTTGCACTGAATTAAGCTTGTTTTTGAGAATTTATTTTAATCCGAAAATCTCCTTCAAACATTTTTATATAACTAAAGAATAATAATATAGTTGTCGTTCGCAAGGTGGAGGCAGCATTGGGCCTGAGGTAGAGTAAGTGGAGCGGTCGTTCTAGGCACATATCAGCAAGAGGCGCCAAATATTTCGAGAAACTTAAAACGGAAAACTGAATTTTCGTGAAAAAAAAACGACGGGTTGCACTCCGGGAGTGCCGGCAGAAGTGAAAACTTGTTCATTTTTAATATTTTGGAATAGTTAGGAAATAATTTTACACGAATTGCTTTAATTATCAGTATAGAAGTACTATCATGTATGTGGTAGAATACAATATTTATGTATTGCGCTATCGTACACAAACATGACAATTTATATTACATTAAAAAAGTTTATCTCTCAGAAAATCAACTTACATGAATCACGTTTAAGCGCACTTAGCGACATCTATTGTAAAGAAATCAACTTACATGAATCACATTTAAGCGCACCTAGCGACATCTATTTAAAAAAAATGCATTTCCTTCGCAATAAAGCTGCCACGTGGACGTCCTAGGTAGAGTCTTATTATTATAATACGGTAAAATAAAATATTACTATGTTTCGTCCAATAAATTGAAAGTCAACAATCTTTCCAATTTTATTGTGTGTCATGGTGCGATCAGCCCACGTGTTTAACCTGACGCGAGTTTAACATTTTTAGCCATACAAAAAAAAGTGTACAGCGACGCTAAAGAAGTTTTCACTTCAAAAAAAACTCACTTTACCTTTGATCAAGGGAATAGGTCGGTGCTGGGTGGATTCCTTCTAAGCGCGTACCAATGTAGGCAAATTATAATTCAATACGAACTTCGATCCAAAGACTGCTATTTTCTCTTTAATTACATTACTAGTGGACCCAACAGACATCGTCCATTCCAGACATCGATAAAAAAACGAGCGAGCCTTACAGTAGTCGCGTATGATGTGTAACATTTGAAACCTCACCTTATTTGAGTAAAAAAAGAAATAAAACCTACTACAAAAGAAATAAGCCATTTGAACATTATGTTCTAAAATCAAATCAAATAAATAAATAAATATTTCCGACACTCACACCAATTAGCCTAGCCCCAAAGTAAGCACTATAAGGCTTGTGTTATGGGATGCTAGGGTAACGGATAGAATACATATACTGTACATATATAAGTATATTTATATAAATACATATTAAACATCCATGACTGGAGTACAAATGCTCGTATTCATCACACAGACATCTGCCCCCACCGGGATTCGAACCCGGGACCTCTCGAGTCGGCGACAGCCATGAAACCCGGCGTACAAACCACTCGGCCACGGAGGTCGTCAATAGCGCACGCTTTCGCGACTTCCTGTTACACACTTCCGTCCCATTTAACGAAATCACTCCCACGTAACTTCTTATAGTACAGATAAAGGAAAAATTGCGAAAACCGTCAATTTTTAGTTACATCATATAATAAAAAATATTTTTGAAAATTCAGGTTTGTACGGTACCCTCGGTGCGCGAGTCCGACTCGCACTTGGCTGTTTTTTTCTTTCATGTACCGGATCGAAGGGGAATTTTGATATTTTATTTTTAATTATATTTTGAAAAAATATACTCACCTTTAGCTTGATGTGAATTAATGTACCTTCACTCTTATTTTTCTGTCTAATTTGACCGGACTATAAAGAAAACATAAGAAAGATGGATGTAGGAAGTCTTTTTCGTGTTATGCCAGCCAAAGCGAAAAAGGTATAAATTTTTATATGAATAGAAGATATTTATTTCAAACAAATACTTATAAATTATGAAATCCGATATCGATATCAAAAATATTAATTAATAATAATAGTCTTTTATTTTCTTGCACAATCTACAAAATAGAAAACAACTTATTCTAAAATATATTTAGGT